TGTAAAAAGTCTCCCACCCGGACCTTTTCCCTCACAACAGGATCTGAACCAAATTAAAGGAAATAATTTCAATGCTGTGTTGGCTGCTTCTTTTTAGCTAGAGAAAAATTTAATGCAGTGATCATATACCGTAACAGGTGCAACATTATGGAGAAATGCGTTGGTGACAAATCAGCTTACTGTTTTTAATTCCCCAGTCACTAAAAAATACACAGCTCTCAGTCTACCAAGCTAAAAGAGGAAAGGGGGTGCCCCTTATTGCCGTATTGCTGTTAAATCACAAATTAAATGTTTTTCCACCCCAAAAACACACTATTACATGAGAAAAATATAATAATATAATTTAAAATATAATAATGAAAATTGTTTTGTACCTTTTGCTAAAGCACAAACAACATTCATACGTACTGCTATAGGACACTATTGATATGGCTCAATATTAACCTATATGGTATTTATTTTTGTTTTATTATTTGCGTATTTCATCACTATTGCAGAAACTGTTACATATTTTGGGTTTCAGAGACAAAATTTCACAATTTCCCCCTAAGCCAATTTTGTCATTCAAATCCAAAGTCTGTTAAGCCGAGGGTTTACTGTACTGATAATGTTGGGAATTTTATTTTAGAAATATTACTTGTCATATACATGAAGCTCAACATATTTGTTGAAAAGATATTTACTGGTGTCTTATGATAAAATTATCATACGATTCCAGTAATTGTACTGACACAATTACACCGACAATACTACTTATAACCAATGATGAGGAAAATGCACACCTCTTAGTTGTATATTATGTTTTTTCTTTAACAACTTAATTCAAATGCCAACAAAGGAACAGTGAGGTACACAGAAACACACTGGGTGGCACCAGCAGATCTGTATTTCTCTTTAGGATTTAATAAGTGAAAGCCATTATTTTTTAAACCAGTTACTTTTGTTGAACAATCAATTAAACACCACTTCAGGGAGTTCCGCAAGTTACATTATATTCTTTAATCAGATGCAGAGAGCTGGATCTCAAAACCTAACTCAGTAACTAACAGGTCCCCAACCACGTATGAACTATCTCCGCAGTCATTAACAGTCATTCTACACCCCCATGAAAACAGGACAATAGGCAGAACTGCTCCTGAGTCTCACCAAAAAAACAAAACAAAGCCGTAATATTCCTGTTTTTTCAATTGAGAGCAATGCTTGTCATTACTGTGCTAAGTATTAATATAGCATTGCTTTCTTGCTGTCATAGTTTAAGAATGTAATGTAATTTTTCCTGCAAAGTGACAATGGTAATGCTCACAGATGCAACATAAAATTAGCATTTTAAGAATGGCTAAGGTTATGTCTTGCTGAAAGGGAAATACTGTATGTATAATTGAAAGTTGAAAGGGCATTTATCAAGGAACTAATAAAGCCCTGACTATTAGCATACACAGTCAGAAAGTCTTCTCTTAATAGTTATAACCGAAATAATCTAGTTTTATGGATACAGTACCATTAATATTAATTTACAGTATGTCCGCTGATAATTCAATGGCTTTTGGTTTTGTTTCATTTTCCATAATAAAAAGGTGATCTCATGAGCAACTTGGAGATCCCAGTAACCATGGCAACCCACAGTCTTACATAATCACTTCACTTTAACGGTAATGGCTGCAGACTGGCGAGTGCTTTTAAACCTCCAGGAGAAGGAAAAAAGTTCATTTTCAAAGGAATAGGGTTAAACTGTGCCCATCCTTCAATTAATTGAGTTGAATCAGCAGTCAAATCTTAGGGCTGGACTTCTACAGTACATTTAGAGGTACTCTATCTGCATTAGTAAAAAAAAAGTCAAAGGAAGCTAAGAGCATTATAACACACAAGTGAAGTAAATCCTTCAATTTGGGGTCAGATAATAATAAACTATTAGGAACAACACATGGCTAGGCAAATTATCATATATATAAAAGCCACCCCATCACATATGGTAAATTAGACATTTTTCAGTATAGTACACTTACGCAGAAGATAATATTTAAAATCGAGTAAACCCAGTTGCTGACCAAAATAAATCCCTGTGCCGTCTTCAAAATCAGTAAATTAAATTTTTCTGAGGGGAAAGGAATTCTGAGAAACACAATTGTGATTCTGGCGCCGGAAAACTGAAGCAAGCGTCATAACCAATCTCATAAGATCTGCATGCTGTAACACATGATCTCTTTAGCACAAGTGCTTCTTTAGAGCAAAAAAGTGCTTCAGAAATCTATAAACTACAACAGACAGTGGTTTGAGTCTCTTAACCCTAAACAGAAATATCATCTTTTACAAATAATGAGAGATAGTTGTCTAAAGTACAAGTGTTTTTTTTTAGAATGTATTATATGCATTACTATCCAGATCTTTTGAGGAAACAATTTAATACAACAACTGGTTGACTTCCCTTTTCTATGGAGGTTTCAGCCTTAGGGCTCAGGTTAAGCCTAAGCCTCAAATAAGCAAATACTCATTTTAAGGCAGATGCGGCAAAACTAACCCCAATATTCATGGTGCTTAAAGGGTGGCTATCTTTTATTTTCAGTAACAAAATTTGCACTTACTTTTTTTTTTAAACAATAGCTCTGCTGTTATTGCTGTTTATATTTCTCTATACTGTACCTGGTAGAAATAAGGATTGGGTTCCGACTCTCCTACACCATTGAAATCCACCACATTGATGAGCTGGAAATCAAAAGCCAGGCCTGCATTGGCTGACTGGAATTCAGGAAGCAGCTGCACATGGGGCAGGTTCCCCAGCTGCTTGTACCGCCAGTTGTAAAGGTTGCACAGACTGTAGCATGGAGGGGAAAAAAAAGAAACACAGTTAGAAACACACACTATTATTGCATCCCCTGTGCACTCAAGTCTTTGCTGGGAACCCCTGCCGTACCCCTGAGCAAGGCACCTGCTTGGCCATGCAATGCAAAGTTCAACTGGAAACATTAAGGTCCTACGGTAACACATGTCACATGACTTATCATGGCCTGTTTTTGATCAAGGGTGTCTGCAATAAGAGGCAAAACATGACCTTCCACCACCTTACCTCGCTCTCGCTCTTCCTTGGGCATCAAGGTCCACTGTCGGCACACCCAGGCGCACAAAGCGCGTGAAGAGGGACTGCTCCATGTTGGAGTACTTCTGGAAAGCCATGTTTTTAATGACAGGTGGCAGCTGGTGGTGGTCTCCTATCATTATCCATCGCTTCAGTCTACTGAACCCATCCTCTGGGTTCTACAGAGAGTACAAAAGCAGAGGTAACTAAATAATTAAGACATTTTTAATGAACCAGGAGAGGGAATTGATCTAATCTTATAACAACAGCAGCTTTAAACATTAATATCAACCCATAAAATATATCTGATGGGCCCTATTATTTCAGTGTTTACTCTATATTCTACACAATCAAAGAACACCATCTGTCATCTAAAGCAGTGAGAGCCTTTGCTGATATAGGTCTCATGATCACTGGCAGCCAAGTAATTAATGGCATCCCAGGTTACAAAGATCTCATTTTTAAATGGAAGCTTTTCAGTTACAGCACTTGTCAGGACTGACTCTTGTGTGGCTGTGTGGAGAAATCATGGTTACAGTACCCTCACATACTTCCACAAATAGTATATAAACTCAGGAAGAAACAAACAGATTAATTAAAACACGACTAAATGAAAAATTAATGTTTAATTATTCTTAATTTTTAATGTTCTGCAAAACAGATGAAAGCTTTTAAATAGACAGAAACCAGCATTATTATGACAAGAACTCCAGTGCTATGGCACTTTTAGTTATCCACAGAATGAAACTCAAGACCCCTAAACAATCTTAGTGTCAGGGGTCTACTGGTGTCTCCAACTTTGGAGAAAAAAGTTTTTCATTGGATTTGTTGATGCTCTAGATCAAGCGGATGAAAATTAAAAAATCCTGTGATATGCAGTATGGTGTCTAGGAATAAACCTATGATTTTGAGCCAACAGATTGGAACTGTTTTTGCCCTTCTTATACTCTGTGGTGTACTCTTTTATTTTCATATATTTAACTTTTAAAAGCAATAGCTATAAAAATAGCTATAAATAACAAAGCCTCTTGGCAATGTGAAGTGATTAGACATGCGGTTCATTGGAGTGCGGCTGTACAGCACTCTACTGCATAATTATACATTTGTCACATACTTTATGCATCTAGGCTAATGCTGGTCAACAGATTAATATTTACATACCTGTATATAAACACTTTTTTGCCCCACTGAAGGTAATTAGAATCTAAAAGGTCCATATGGAAAAACACAATAGCTACAAGCTACAGTACGTTACTGAAAATACAAACTGCTTTCTTCACAAATTAACTTATTTACGAGTACACACAGAAAGCGAAATGGAAATTGCTCAGGTTAAGGATAATTATTAAATCTGATAACAACAGTGATTCTATAACAGAGCCTATCAAGGGCAAACGCAACAAATGAAATGCAAAAGGCTTTCATGTTGACCTGATGAGTGTTTAAGGATTTTGGTAAATATTAGTTCCAATCTGTTGTGATTAAGCTGATTGAAGCTTTATATACAAACTCTATAAAGCTACACCAGGAAGCACAATGAGAACAGCATTCTGTATGCAATACATTTTATCCTAATATTTGTATCTTGTTTACCTGCAGTAAGAGTGGAATGAAGGTTTCAATCTCCAGAATTTGAGCAGCCTCTTCCATCAAGATGTTATCATACTGTAAAAAAATTAAACATGTAAACACAAATTAATTTGCTGTTTTTTTAAAATGCTTTCCTCGGAGCATATTACATGAAAACATTCCTGATACATTATTTGGAGATACTTTTAATCCTGTTTTTGAGTGGATGTTGTACAGTACGTTTGTATATACACAAATTACAAAGGATAATAGGATATTTTGCTAAACAGTCAAATTCTACTGTACAATACGAGCATATATCTGTTAACAGATCAACAGTGTGCATAATATTTCTCAAATACACTTGAGTCAAACATATATGGCTGCGTAGCAGTTATTTAACCTAGCTCTTTTCCTTTTGGCACAATGAGTCAATAACCGAAGAAAAGAAGCCAGGTTTACGTGCTCAGAAATGGCTAAATAAAACATTACATCATCTGCCTTGAGGCTCTCACCTTAAATCCCAGTTCAACTAGGTCATGTCGCTTGAGAGCTGCGTGTGTACAAGTCATGGCGATGATTTTTGCTTCTTTCACCAGCAGGTATTTGGACCTGTCCAAACCACTGCGCAGAAGCTCAAATGCTCGGAACTCCTAGGTGGAAAGGAGTACAGAAATGTATAGAAACGTACTGAATATAACTCTTCTAGTCCAGCCAAAAAAGCCGAGGTGTGTAAAATTAAAACATAATTGACAGTGGCAATAAAAGATGAAAAATGAAAGAAGACATTCAACATTAACGTACTGCAGAGCCATGGAAAATGTATGATCTCTACATTTTTTTAAAACATTTAGCATAATCTGTAAAACACTACTGCATCTTAGCTGTATTTAACCTTGTGGTATAATTCACTGATGAGAAACGTGACAAAAATGCAACATGAAAATTCCAAATCGTAGAATATGAGCTTGAAATATCGATTAAATTCCAAGTAAACAAAAAGAAAATTAAAAAAAATAGCATACAATCTCAAATTGCTTATGCTTTCTCAATGGTCCTTTCCAAATCAATTTTATGATCTTTAATAAAAACACAAGAACTGGAACCATTCTCACCATGACTCAATTACAGAACTATCTTTTTAAACCACAATATTGTCCATAGACCACAGAAGTAAAACAAAATGATGGGGTCCCTAGTTATTGAGATAACGAGTCACCAATAATGGCTCTGGTGTCATAGTCTGGTATTTCAAGGATCAAAGATCTTCTATATCATACTTTCCAGCAGTAACAAAAAATGTTCCACTGCCACTGATCTTTTTAATAGATGGTATTAAGTCAGGTCGTGTTAAACAGCAATGGCATATTGGGTATCAAGCAATGAAAATAACTCAGATGCAATTTTTTTCAAATCCCATGCACACCTGAACATCTAAAATTGATGCTAATCAAACATTACTGCTCAAGCCATGAAAAGAGTCACTCATGCCCTTCTTAAACAATAAAATGGTCTTGCTGCTAACAGTTCATCCTTTTCGTCTGCATTTTCATCATTATGCAATTCTTCATGATAAGGGCTTTTACACTACAGTGCCTCGCATAAAACACCACTGCCCACTGCTGCCAAACAATTCCTGGCAGAGGCAGACAGGCCATCTCTCATTCATCCCCTTTAGGGAATTCCTTGCAACACTTGCTGATAGGAAAAAAAAATGCTTCAAGATTCATTACGCTAATCCTTAATCCCGCAGTTTCCTGCTAGTAAATGGTGGCATGTCAATTTCTGTGGCTGTACTTGCTATATGACCCAGCATTAGGGGTGTTTGTTCCGTTCAATACTAGCTTAGAGTGCACTTTTGTGCAGATTTACTTACACATAGGTCCTGAATTAGAAACCAAGCTGCCTTTTCAATAAAACCAGCTTGGCAATTGTGTAGCATGCGGTATCATAGCTCTGTTAGTCGAAACATTTCATCATACTGATGCTGCTAATGGTGCTCTGGGAGCAAAGGCCATTGGCATGCTATTTCAGGAAGCCTCACAACGAGTAAGAACTAGGGAAATCTGAGTGCACTGGCACATCAATATTTGATGCGTTACTATTTTAACATTAATTTTAACCTCTCGCACATAAAATATTTAACAGACTATTTTGAAGTCCAATTTTACCATATGTGCCAGTAGAAATTCAGTGCCTTGCGCCTGTAAGACCACATGTGTTTTGCCATCATATGTTGCAGGAACAAAAATCTCTGCAACTGAGAATGGAAATGAAATGGAAAAAGACAAGAGCTAGAAGAATTCTTATGTATTAGACTTAATGAGAATTGTCCACAGGGTACTTCCTATTTTAACTTCTCTTTCAGTATTATTTTTGGCATCAATATATTTAAATCTCCAGAGCTCTGGTTCCTCTATAATAAAATCAATGTATTCTGGCAAAAGCTAAACCACTTTTTACAAAACTCTACAGTGTCAATCTCAGTAAATCACAGACAATATTATCCATTCAAACATGTCTAACCACTGTATCCTATACACTGTTGCATGGGAGCCAGAATCTATCCTGAAGACGAATGGATGCAAAGCAGGACACGCCTTGGACAGGACACCGGTGACAACATTATCAGTTTTCTAAATTAAATCCAACACTTTTCAGAAACCACAGCAAGCTCACAACCTATTCTAAAATGTAACAATAAAACTAAAAGTAGTAGAGATTAGTCTGGTTGCTGCCTAAGGATCTTCAATGAGTAAGGCTGGAATGTGGGCGACAATCTTCTTTCCACATCCGAGGAGACTGGGAGACGTCAATGGTATGGAGTATAACATACGATAACATAATGCAAATCCATCTTTTGTCTGATCAAATATTTTTCACAGAGAAGGTGGGAAAGAGTAAGGAAAGAAAACCCAAGGCTTCTCATTTTTATGGTGTGTTGGAAGAAAATACCAGTAACTAATTACTGATTTGTGACAGGGTATAAAATAAACCTAAAAGGCCATCAAGATCCATTAATCACATTTTTTTACTCCATTAATTCAATGGGAACTGCTACACTACTCTCCTCCTAAAGTGTTAAACTTTTTTAAACCACAAAAATATAAAGGAACATAGTATTAAGAAAACCTAGCATGTTCAGTCAGTCCAGTTATTATTATATGTTCAATTCTTAAATATTTCTTTAGATGTGCTTGATCTACCTTTAGTAAGAGCTCCTTCATGACAGTCAAGCAATTCAAAATCTTTACTGCTAAAAAATACAAAGATTCAATTCACCTCGAGCTGTGTGAATATTTTCTTTATGTGTCTGAAGCAGCCCTCTGCAATATCCATGTCTTCTTCATATGTTTTTCCTTTGAAAACAGGTTGAGGTGCATTGGAGAAATACTTGTGGAATGGGAAATGTCTGGAGATATCCTGAACATCGATCTGCTTTCCAGGCTTCACTTTCACTTTGCTGAGGTACTCTTCCCAACGAGACATCACCTGAAGTGACACACAACAAATGAAAGAGAGTCAGGAGACGAGGGAAGGGAAAGATACCAGCTCACCTGGCCCCACAAAATCCCCTCACACTACTGAAACCTTGAATGATGAATCATATGAATGTGGATTTGTCACTAGAGCTTTGTAGAGTTTTAGCGCAACCAGACTTCTGTTCACAAAACCGTTTCCTGTTCTCAAAGCTGTATGAAGATAGATGAGGACAGCCCACATAACTAAACAAATCGTCACAATAAAACATTTTTTTCATATGGAGAACAGTAGAAATTTCAAGTGTTAGTTCAAAGCAGATACCAGTGAATTTGCTAAGAAAAAGCCAGACCATTTGTGAAAAGTCATACAGTATATATTGCACATTGCTAGGCACATATATTGGCTCATGGCTAAGAGTTGAGAGTGAAAAGACTATTTTTTTACTTCATAAAAAATGGAAAGGCTAGGTGCTGCCCATTCTGCACAATTAGCCAGTCTCGAGGAAGCAATTCAATTAGAACAATGGAAACATTCTTTTTTTAGCAGACAATTGTTTATTTAAAAAGCACTCAGCAGAAGGGCACAAATAAATTATAAAACTTCAGTCAAGACATAAAACCAGCGTGAAGTTAAGAATAAAAAAGTTCAACACACGCCAACAGTGAAGGAAGGGGGAAAGCAAAATTCTGCACTGGTCTCGAGAGTGGAGAGAACTGATGGTCTTTTATATTGTACATCAAAACAACAGATCGTTAATATATGTTTATTAAGTTTCAACACACAAAATGTAAATTTAATTGTACATACATATGTGGACATTAATTTACTTCGAATTACAGCGGAAACCAATACCTTAATAAACCGTAATGTAAATTTCATTCAAACATTATATACTCAAAAGCTAGTTGGCTTGAATGCTCAAATGTTCTGATTGGTGACTCAATGTCAATGTATTGATACTGCAAGATTTCAAAAAAGGGGACACTATAAAAATGTTGTTGTAATAAAGAAACACACTTCAGTTGTATACTGAGGAAAGACAAAGGATGTCTCAGTTCTCTCATATGATGTAAAGGTGCTGTAAACATCAGAGGTATTTTAGGTGACATTACATGTTGTCAAGCAAAAAAATTATCAATACGAAAACCAGAGGGTTAAGACAAGATCAGTCATCAAACAGTTCGCAATACATTCACTTTATTTCATATCAAGTCAAGCGATGCTTCAAAACAAGTTTCATAAGATGTGCCCTTTAAAGCTGCATGGGTCTAATACATCAATGTTTGCATCACACTAACTTCCAATATATCCAAGGAAAATAAAACTCAGCTTGATTCATTTCCATTCTCTAAAACGGGTGAAAATTGCACTTCAGGGTAGGGAAATAAAATTGCAGAATGTCATAAATCATCTGATGGAGACTATGCATGCGCATTATTTTTTAAAAAAATAACTATAAAATTAAACGCTATATTAATAAATACAATATTAATTGTATTTATAATTTTACTGATCCACTACCAGAACTCTCTATACCACATTCTTACCTGATACAAGTAGAAGTGGCCAGCAGTTTCACATGTGTAAGACACATCCCCTGGCACCTCAAGACTCTCCTGCAGCCGGGCGACCTCCCTGAGCAGCTCCAGTCTCCGAGCCAGGACATAGTTCACGCGCCCATACCTAAGGACAGATTATAGCGGTCAACATTCATTCACTCAACATTCACACCTTTTAATACGCTTCTGAAACTGGAAATCCTTTCTCAGATTTTTTCTCCTTAAATTTTTCGGACACTTGATCAGCATGATCAAATTCAGACTGACGTGTAAAATAGCGTAGCTAGTGCCAGGGGCAAAGTTTATCGCATTTCTGACTGCATGTCAAAAGACCATTGGATCAGAGTTGAGAGATGGGTGTACTGAAAAACAAATCTCACCGCTTGCCACAGTGTGTAGGCTGGAGCCAAAGGCTTGATTTTAAAGCTTTAGAGAACTGTGACATTACAAAAACAAGGAAGGTGGTTTTTATTGTTTTGTTTTTAATCTTTCAACACCTAGAATACAGCTGAAGTTAATAAAAACGTCAGGGGTGTTAAACTCAGTGTTAATAGAACTATTAATCAGCAGATGTGTCAAAACGTCCATGGGAGTCAATATGACGGTACTCTGATTTTTTTCCACAATAAGCAGAAAGGGGTTTCCTTTCTGAATTACAATTTACGTGACTTAATTTAAACCTACCTATAATTATGACTAAGAAGTAATTAGACGCTGGCATTATAGTAGGCTTATCATACAAGTTATTCATAGATCACAGAAAGCTGCTCTGTTACAGGAATATAAACAATTATAAAATGATTTCTAATTAAAACAGTAGAATAGTTATTGAATTGACATCTGCAGTGCACTACAATCTTGGAAAAAATGAACTGAACTATATAATTGCTTCTAGTATGGAACAGAGATAAGAATATGCCGCATATGAAATGTCTCAATAAAATGTGTTTCTTCTGAACTAAATTTAGTTTAGCAAAAACAAAGACATTGCTTACATCAGAATCTATAACAACTTAATCTGGAAACAGCCTAGTTACACCAATGTAACTCGCATGTATGTACTTAATATTCTCTATTTCTCTATGGTGAAAAGGCATAGCTACTGCAAGCTTCTAACTAATATTGCTCAACGTAAGAAATTCTAGGCAAAATAATGACTTTTTTTTAGTTGTCTTGATTTTTAATTCTGGTCAGCATAGTAAAAATATTTATAACCATCAGATTTTACATTCTTTTAATGTTGGTCGCATATATTCTATCGAGATGTGTCTTTATAAACAATTTCAATTGTAGCTGACAGATGCATAGGCTTGCTATCAGTGTGCGAATACACCTGAGCGTGTGGTACGGCAGTCTCAATGAGAAATGCCGAAGTGACTTTCACCACCCATCAAAAGTTAAGAAGATAAAAAAGTGCCATGAGCACTCAGTACATAACCAATGGAAGCATTCTGAACACATCACAGAGGGAGGATAAAAGCAAAATCTAATCCTTACTAGACACACTATCTTATGAGGATGTGCTACACTTGCTTAAGCTTGAGAAAATGGAAATATTTCCTCAACATATCCTTATGAGAAACACCGCATTCAGCAATATATATATTATTCTAATGTAAAAGGAATCTTTGTGATATCTTCAATAGAAAACTAATCAGTGCCCTTTTTAAATGAGTAATTTAGCTCATTGTGCTTTCTAAAGACATTCCCTACTTATCGCTCTTGTCTCCTGCTGTTATTAATTCCTATTCATGGAAAACCTCCACACACAGCACAGTAAGAAGATGTAATTCTCCACAGGGTTATAATTACAATTTAAAAATAGCAATTATTTACACTGGCAATCAATGGATCTCGCTTAAAATGAAAAGAAATTACACTTAATTTGGTGAAATTCGTTTATTATCAATCATCTACTGAACTGATTTGAGGCCTGCATTCTGGGAACTATTTTAGATTAAGTATGCTTTTATCAAACAGCAGAGCTGCCCAGCTCCTGTCCTGGAGGGCCACACTTACAAAACCTGCTGTACTCTTTAAATCAGCAGCACACTACTGAGCTGGAAAATGCCAATAAATTGCATCAATTTATACTGAGACCGAAGCCCACCAGGACTGGAGTTAAGTACCCCCTAATAAAGGGCACAAAACTGATGACATCACGGCAGCTCATCTTCCCATTCACAGACTTACCAGTGTTGTGCCAGTCACAATTCTAATCTCTCATGTCGCAGAAAAATGGCTCACTATCGTAATGAACTGTTGTCAGGAACCCCACATAACTAAGAAATGTGAATAAAGATAGACCCAGTGAAGGGAGTAACAATGTTTGAACACAAATTAGCTTCTATATATCATCTCTGAAAGTCCAAAATTTTCAGCCTTTTCAGTAAATGATAAAACTCAAGGACTACCAGACAAATCAAAGAATAACATCCTTTTCAGATTAATTGCTGTGTGTCTGGTTGTGCATTGCTGTGAAATGTAGAAAAGATAAAATCTGAAATTGTTCTAGTTTTGTTACTATCACTAATTTATGTAACTATACAATAGAATATTTCCATATGTGCATGTGAAGTTCATGTTTAGCCACGTGCCCTGGTTTTATCCATTTGCTGAACAGTGTGATACAGAGAGGCTGTCAAAAATGTGTGAAAGACAGCACACTGAATTCTTTCCTAATTACACAAGAAAAGGAGAATGCACCGACTGGGACAATAGATCTGTTTTCAAAAAGTTTTTGTTACTCCTCCGATTACAAAAAGAAGTGTATTAAAATAATTTCAAGGCAGAGTCTTCCAAACAACTTTCGAACTTATACAAACATGACAGAAAAAAAAGGTAAATACTGCTGTGCCTCAGTGAGACCGGTCCTTTCATGCTATAGTGTTTTAACAGGTTCTGCATGGGCCACATGGCATTGTGCATCATATGTTCTCTGAGAAGATAGCACCTAAACTGGCCACCTGCTGGCCTCACCTGCTGAAATCCTTCTCTGTCTCCAACTCCTCCTCTCCATGGCCCAGACGGAGGAGGTGCCTCTCATCAATATCCAGAGCCATGATCTTCTCAAACAGCTGGTTCAGGGCCTACAGAGAGTGACAGGGACAGGAGGAGATGCAGTTTTTAGAAGCTTGGCTGGCTTCTGTTTGCAGGAGAGACAAAACAGTTTTATAGTCAGATGCTGGGATAACAGCCTTGTTTGGCAAGTCTTTGTAAAAGAAAGCAAAGAGGAGGGATTTCCCAAATAAGACCAACAGAGAATTCCAGGGGAAGAATGTTGATGACACAGACAGCGACAAAATGCTTAAAATAACTTTCAAAAAACAAGCTTTAACCTTAGAAACACCGTTATACATACAGTGCCAATTCTGCAAACAAAACAAATGACAGAACAATTGAAATATAGATATACTTCTGTTTTGCAGTTACATCAGTATGTTTGAATTTCATCTGTTTTTCAGAAATACAGCAATTCTTAACCATGGCAGATAAGAAAAAAAGAGCTCGTCATTGACCGAGTTAAAATGTGAAGGCATAGTAACAATGGTGTGTCAAGCAGTACTGTAACGCATCCTTGATGACTGAAATACGTTATTTAGGTCTGTTGCATAGTTATATAGATATATAAATATGTCTATTTGTCGGTAAAACAAATGTCTCCTGCATTACGCAAACTCGCTTTATGTCATATGCCAGGAATGAAGGATATGCCTGAATATGTTTAAAAAAAACAATACATTCTATAAACCAACTTGAAAGTTTGAAAGGTCAAGAATGTGCTTCTACCCTCCACATACCTGATTTGAGTGTGTTACTATGAGAGTTCTCTGCTCTGGGAAATTGTGATAGAGATTGGAGATGATCTGCACAGCCACATCTGTTTTCCCTGTGCCTGGAGGTCCTACAACCTACACAAGGAAAGAGAGGTGCATTAGGTAATATGAAATGTGCTCTGTCTGGCTAGGATATACTGGCTATGACAACAGCATTCTGCTCATGCCGTGATAATCATTCCAACTTGTTGGTTCTAATTTCTCCAGAACAAAAGAAGTACAACCTGTAATGATATTTTCTAGATTAAAAAAAACTCCATATAAAATTTAAATCAAAGAAAACTGATGGTTTTTGGACTACAATTAACAGAAGGATAAACCATGACATTGTTTTTTTGTTCCTTTATTGGTTAAGTTTTTAATTGGAAACAAAATGCTTAAGGCATTCATGTATTATTTGTTTAACATACAGTCAGGACTCTCAGCCACTGAATTTTTACATAAACCAGATCTAACAAGGCAATCCTGAAGTAGCTCACACTTACAGAATCTCACCAAGACACTTAGTGATGCAATCTGTGAGGAAAACTTGTGAAGGAAAGCTATTGCTTCAGGTAAACAAATTGCTTCTGGTCTGTTTTTTTTTTTTAAGTGTTATTATACTACTTCAGGAGATAGGTTACTTGGTGTAACCCCCTTGTAAACCTGTCAAAACACATCACACCCCCTAGATACCTCTGGCAGTTTGTGAATGACCAGAGAATCCCTGCATCATTGCGAGAGTGTTGATTGTAATTCCACATGTTGGCAACCCAAAGAGAGAGAAACATTTTCTCCATTCTATGTCAGTTGAACTGATGATGACATTGGTGTATTTACTAGGAACCTTAAGTTCAAAATGAACGTTCCTCTCTTTTGGCACCAACCAATCACCATTATACAGTATAATCCTTTACACTTTATTTCTACTTACTGAAATTATTTAATATCTGTTAAAAAACATTTTTTAGACAATGTGTGGAGGCTATAAATAGGACTCACCAAGTAATTAACTTCAACAGTTCACAGAATAACACCACAGACTATTAACAATAAGTCTGTATTTGCAATCAATTTGCAAAACGTGTATTAAATAAAGTGCTTTCTTACCATAGTTAAGCCTGGCTGCATGCCTGCACGTATGGCTTCAATTTGTGTAGGTGTAAATTGAATCATATTACTGTTGAAAAATAAATGGTAATTAATTAAAAAACAAAATATATTTTTGAAATAAAAATGATAAACAATGCAATTAAGTGGTGTTCAAATGAATTTCTGTCGCTAATACACTTAAATTTACAAAACACAGCACGGTAAAGTTAAGGATGAGAAAGAAACTTTTTTTAACATGAATCTTACAATTTATATTTAAATGATCTTACAGGATTTGTTCAAATTTAACACAATTAAGCTTCTATCATACCATACTATGAAAAAATGACAAAGTATGATGTAATTTTCCATATCGCAAAAATGCAAAATAAGATTAAATAACACCAGATTTAACTGGAGGATCAAAGGATTTCTTTGCTATTTTTAATTCAAATAAGTAATAATATATAACGTTACAATATGAAGTCATATTAATCATGCAATGGGAAACCTAGTATGTAAAAAACCTTGGAATGTTAATGGATCTTTTAAAAGAGTAAGATTTCATTCTCCTAGTGTGAAGTGTAAACACTTTCAACAGTTAACGTGAGACTTAATAATAATATTGAAGGTTTCCATCCAGTGATGTGCATTCCTGAGAAAACAGCACTCGTAGTGAGTAGATGGCTATTCCAAATAAGGACATGAAAGGGTGAAATATAACACGATCTTTATGCACCTATAACAACACCAAAGAGGATTCTGATTTATTTTAAGGATGAAATTATAGAATATAGAAAAAGTTTTAGCTTTCAATATCTAAAATGTCTGAGCACTCAGGTTGTAAAAAAACACTGAAAGAACTACAAAAGAACACTACAAGACTTGCACCTATGTATTAGCCAAGTAAAAGAACGAAAAACATTTATGATACCTACCGTTTGGGCTGGTTGTAAGGATACGGCCCCCTGTTTAGAATGACATGGGGTTCGACAACTAAATGGTAGTCTTCCTCCTTCCTCTCCTCTTTCTCGTCTGCCTTTCGTTTCTTACCTTTAGGAGAGCTGACGGGGAACTTAATTCTACAACGAACATATTGTCAATGTTAATTCAAAACAGAACAATGTAGAATTTGGTAAGCTTGCATGCTTAGAGGGACTGCAGTTTCATTTATATAACATAAAATGATGATTCACAGAGCTATATCTACACAATTGTGTCAAACAGAAGAAAGTATACAAAGTGATGCTAAAGCACAAAGGAAATGCAAAGCTCAGGCCTAACGGGTAAAATTATTTTAAACATAGATAAAATCACTGAAAATGTGAATAGAAACATTGTACATTCATTAGACAACGAGATACTGCCATTGGTTTTAACACAAAGAAACAGCCCTCTAGGTTAATTAGACTAGAAAAAATTTAAAATCTAATTCCTTAAACATACATATTTGAAATTGCCTTCCAAGAGCAAGCAGTGATTATCACCTGAAGGGGGGTTTCTGAAGGGATGGATCCTCTTCAGTGACTTTGATTGTGTATCCTGGGAAGGAGGCCCGCAGGTGATCAATGGACAGAAAGGTATCATTGAAGTCCAGTGTGGCGATCTGATTGGGCATTTTCGAGTAATGAGCACTGCCTGGGTCTCCATATCCCAGAATGATGTCATGTAGCCAGTCAGGTACCACGCAGTCTGTGTTCATCAAATTCCTGATGGTCTCTAGGACTGCCTGTAAAAAGAAGGAAACCGGTTTTGAAAACTTGCCAGAAAGTCACAGCCTTGTTAGTTAGGCGTCATTTGGACAAATACTTTTTTGTGAATAACCAATTTGCATAAGGGCTTTCACAAGTGAATAATGACCCAATGTTGGCATAAAATGAATAACTGCAACATATGAAGTAACAATAATATAATAATAAACTTTATTTTATATACTACCTTTAAAGGTGGCTTCTCAAAGCACTTTGTTTAATGTGGATTTAGAAATCCCAGTGAGCAGAGCGTTAAAGTAGCCAATTTGGGAGAAGACAAATATGTTTATCAGCTTTTCAGCAACAGATGGCGATAACATAGGACGTAATCTGGCAATATTTCTGAGGTGAAAGAATGATGTTTTGACAATATGTTCAACAAGTGGGTCGAATGTCAACCCTTAATCAAATATCACCCCCAAGTTTTTCAATTTAGACTGAAATGTAAGGACAGTAGGGTTACAGCACTGGCTTTACAAAGTTGATGAGGGATAGTTGAGACAACGAGATCTTAAAAGCTGACCAAGTAGAATCATATAAATGCAGAAAAGTAGGGGGCCCAAGTATTGAGCCCTGAGGTACACCAGACTTAACAAGTCCAATTTCTGATCTAACCATTTAAGAGCAGTGTCAGAAACTCTAAACACAGTCTCAATACAAGAAAGCAAGATATCATGGTTAACTGTCAAAAGCCAGATTGGAGGGGTTCTAGAATTTTTGCAAGAAAGCGTTTGGCTTTTTTGGCAAGGGGGTAATGGCAGCAGTTTTGAGGACAGTTGGTACAACATCAGTGCTCAAGGATTCATTTATTATATTGAGGACAATGGAGCAGAAAGAAGTGAAACAGATTCCATTCCCATCACTTTATTTCAATTCTAATAGGCAGATGGTGGATTTCATATGCAAAACCAGTTTACTGATGGATGCAGAGTCAAGAAGAGAGAAGCTGGAGAGAAGGGAACCAGTAAAGTTGGTAAAGCAGGGAGGAGATGTGGAAGTGACGTGTTCTGGAGAGAATGTGATGCTGGAAGTTGTTGATCTTGGAGTGAAAGAAATCTAAAAGTGTTGCAAAGTTGTGTTGAGGCAGGTAATGTAGTGGGGCAGCTTGGCTTTAACAGTCTGTTGATGGTGGAGATAAGGTCTATAGGGCTATATTGGTTATTTTCAATGATGTAAGAGAAGTAGGTGGATCTAGCAGACTCCTTGTATCCTTATATTGAGACAAGTAATCTTTCCAAGCCTTCACTGATCGCAAATAGGCAGCGTACCAGGGGACAAAGTGAGGAAAAGAGATGGTTCACATTTTCCGAGGAGCAAATGTGTCCAGGGTAGATAAAAGGGCGCTTATAAGGAAATGTATTTTGTCCTCTAGACTAGAGGAGCAGAGATAGAGAAACAAGTTAAGGAGGATAGAACAGAATTAAACCTAGGCTGATCAACTGATAGCCAGTTGTGAAAACTTACGGAGCAGCAGGGGGAATAGAAACAGGTCATTCCAGATTGAAGAGAATAGCTAAGTGATTAGAGAGGCCTAGTTCTGCAGAAAGTTTAGACACTTGCATACGTTATAATAAATTCAATTGGTGCACCAGTACCCAAAACAAATGCATTATAAATTATACAAAAAAAATCACAGTGATAGTCTTGTGTTACAAAGCCAGTCCCTTATCATAAGTTTAAAGTTGCAATCACAAAAACGATACCTAAGAAGTTCAAAGTTAATTGGCCAAATTGGTTTTGTACCAGACCGGTTTTTCTTGTCATCAACAAGAAAACAAAATGGTGGATATGGAGGCCACATGGTTTACACAAGAATCCAATTTTGCCATTTTGTAATTGCACTGTGACTACAAATGAAATCCACCTACTTTGGCATTCCTTGGCAACACAGTTTTGAAAAAGAGCAGCGAGTGGTACTAGAGAATTTCGCCAGCAAACTTTTCCCAAAACAGCAGTGGTTTTAATTTAGCTAAAAATGCACTCAAGCAGCTATTGTGGATTATGGAGGAATCCCCTGTGAACAGTATTGTCGCTGGAATGTTGCCTATACATTTTTGAGTTAAATGAATAGGACTAATAAAGCACAGTGCAAAAAGTTACATACTGCAATACCTTCGTATAAGGCACTACAGCATCAATGGATAACGGGTCTTACAAACATATAGACTTTTACACCTGGGAGAAATATAGAACATCATGAAGGAGATGCTAAGAAAGAAATCTTCAGTGAAAGGACTTGCTGTCTGATTTAATGAAGATCAATTCTTTTCCAAGTTATATTTAGGTTACACATGGATGGCATTTGAGATCTAGCCTTTGTCTCTTGTTGCCACAGCAGTTTGTTTGCCCTAGAGTGCTCTACAGTGGCTGCTAAATGAAAGCTGCTCTGTCTGTCAGTAAGGTCATACAGGGCTGTGGAATAAGATATACAATGTGTAGATCTGATGACCAAATAAAACCTTTCACTCTTCCGTCATTATTAAAACAAACAGTATTTCTAGACATTTGATTTTAAAAGCAAAAGCTTCTGAAAAAATAATTACAGATCCTTCTGATTATAAGAATCTGATTTAAGCATCTTCAGGGCATCAGCAATGTTCAAATATGTTACAGATGATGCTTCATCTGAAGTGCAAACACAAACAGAATACAAATTTTACTTATTGGTAAAGGTAATACCTGCTTTTCCAGCATTTATTTAAAAAAATATCTTTAAAATATTTGAAATAAGATTTCTTTGCACGTCTTAAAATATTTAAATCACATGTTTTTGGTTTTAATCTCTTTCAAAGGCACAACTGCTCAAAGGTTAATATTGTCACTGAGGAAAGGTGCTGCTGTTTAAAGGAAGCTATCAAGCTGTATACAGGTTCAAAGTGAAATCTGATAGCTCGTCATACAAGGAGGCCTCAGAAATTCTCTATGTAAGCCATCATAAGGTCACCACCCTGCAGTCCTCCAAGCTCTGGCTCAGATCACCAGCAGCAACATAGAGCTTTAAACATACGTAACACCAAGAACAATATTAGAGAGAGCTATTAGTAAGTCAGAACGATTGATCAGTGAAGATCAGACAGCAGAGCTGAACACACTGGAACATCTCCTCAGAAACATACAGCCTTTCCAACTGACCTTGAAGTTGTTCTCTTTGGGCTTCCTCCTCATGATGATATTGAAGGTTTCATAGACGTCTTCTGTCCCATTTTGGATCGTGTTTGTCATGTCTTGCTGATACTGGTTTGGATCGAGCCAGACCCTGAATGTTCTGGTATCTCCTTTCAGCTTAGGTTTAGGCTCAGGACCTGAACAAAAAAAGACCGTAAGCCACATAATTTGTTGCTTTTTATTTTCCTAGAATATGAAAATATTTTGAAACCTGATAGAAATGTATCAGCATTTTACCAAAAATGCAGCACTTTTTTCAATTTGTAGACCGATTTCTTCCTAAGAGTCTGAGTGAAGTGTATGTAGGTGTAAATGTAACAGTTTTGTTTTTAAAAATACTCAAATTTTTCCATTCAGATTCAGAGTTTTCTTAGTGAAACTAATAGTTAAATAAGAATTTACAGGAACATTTACAACACTATAGAAAACTTCTTAATGAATGCAAACTTTTTTGAAAAACTTATCAGTTTATGCTATGATTGATTTTTGCAAATTTAAGGTGATATAGGGACTATTAGAATTTTCAACTGCATGTTAAAGGACACATACATTAAATAGCATTTAAAAAGCAAGGTTAGTTGGCTATACATGTTTAGATAATTTTAAAGATAGGCTAGTTATGAGCTTTTTAAATTATATTAACTTTTCCATTTTCTTAAAAGAATATAAAGCAAAATATAGTATTTCAATGCCACACTAATTAAAGCGGATCTGAAATGAGATACAACTTAAGCGATCAAGCAGACTCCACAAAAAGATTGGAGGAAATCCCAAATGGTCTTTCTGCATATCTTTGCTTATTCTCATCAGAATCCTCCTGCTCTAAATCTGGCTAAGAGAAACCACCACTCACAAACACAGACTGCAATCTATTAATAATAACACAGATAACTTCCAGCAGCAAAGGTCTTGAACTTGGCACCTTGTCATTGCATGTCAAACAGAAAAGATGCATACACTTCTACAAAAAGATGTTTAGAGGCCTGGAAAATGTCAAGGAACAAAATGTAAACAAAACGTGATAGGGCTTGAGATTTTCCTTGAAATTGATCACTGAGAATTGCCGGACAGCTCCTGATGTAGAGACAAGGTCACAGTCACAGACGACGACAAAGCCATGAAGAAGGTATCATGTAACAGTTTTGACTGTCCTTCCTCTTGTCAATGTCGTCCAAGAAACCAGTAACTGAAATCTTAAACAGCCAACACGTTTCTAATCATACACGCAATGTAACGTTAGGTTTGGTTTTCCAGAATAGGAAGACCTAAAGACCTTCATGTAGAGGTTTCTAGATGGGACTGAAAATGGTCAAGAGAGGGTCTGAAAATAATATGAAAACTAAGACTACAAAGTAATGATTTATGAAGTAGTTATTATTTGCAGATAAAAAAATCATATACAAAACAGTAATTAATATTCTTTGAGTCACAAAATGAGGTCGGATAGACCAAATATCAAAAGATACATGCTCAATTTGTGCTGAGCATAGCTTGCAGTGAGCTCTCCTGTAATTTGCTGACACTAAGATACTGAGCATCAGAAGAAACATATCACTATGTTTATACATGCATGTTTTGGAATAAAGTACATTTTTTGGATATTAATTAAATGTTTTTGGATCATTCATGGCAGACTGTAATACATTTTACTCCAGCAGTTACAAGATAATTAAGTAATTTAATGAACTGAACACTAAATTGGTGAAAACCACAAAGAAGAAACAGCAATACACTCTGCTTATAAAGAAAGCTGTGGCTTTGTGCCATTGTTATGTTGGAGGCTGGACTAATTCAGTGTACTGTCAATTGCAGTCTGAGTTTCTCACACCCAGCATTTTTTAACTTGGCAAGGGTTTATGGCCAAAAACGCATTCCATCAATAACAGGCCACACCCGGAGACCACAATTCACAAAACGGTAACAAGACTGATGGGGAGTGTCAAATCTCACTTGTAATGATTGAAAGCGATTCAAAATGATTGAATCGAGCAACTTGACTACACAGCATGTATGCTGATTAAGTCCTGGGACCTAACTTGGTGCTTTTCCTAAAGCTCATCCAGATGCAACAACATTCACAGGACAATGCCTGCAGCTCACAAAACCGAATCCCTCTTCAGATGTAAACATAAATACCCACATCAACTGATGTCATAAATACCCACATCAATAGACTGTAAAAATGAAGAAACACAGCTAACATTAAGTAATGTTTTCCCCGTTTTGTTTCGCGTCCTTTTATTTTCTCAGTGCACAGTTAGAATCTAGTAAAAATTCCATCAGTACCTTCTTCGATGACTCTTCCCTTCTCATCCAGCATGCCCTGGATCTCACAGCCCCGGACATACACCAGGCCTGTCTGATCCACAAAAGGCTGACGGCGGTCAAAACGGGTCCCGTAAGGTTTGGTTGGTCGAACGGTGACCAGGAAGCAAACATCATGCTTACGCAGTCCTGTAATGCACAGATTGCGTCACGGGAGCAAAACATGAAACAGTATAATATGTATTCATTAGTATAAAGACAAAAAACAACCCCAGGAATAAGAAAGCCAAAGCACAGAGGTATGCAGAGAAAGAATTCCTTCCTACGCAACAGACTCGGATCTTACTCCAGCCAGAGAGCCCACTTTTAGATAAGCAATGGTATCATGCTAGAAACATTTGGTGACCGAAAATACTCACCTTCCCATTCATTCTTTATCTGATCCCGAACGTTCAGATTGATTGTGACATCGGCACGGACTCTAGCCGGCCAGTTCTCTCCAATATTAGGTTTGGCCACTTCAACGATGGAAAACGCAAGGATCGTTTGTGCCATTCTCGCCCAGCCACCAAACACAACCCCTCCATATTCTGATTGCCTGTGAACATTGAATGATGTTGAGAAATATATCACCTTGATGTCAAATCATGTTGATCTCTGCTGTTTAAGAATGACCTGTACTTTCCTAATGAAAAGCTATTATAATCTTCTGCTTTTCTACATTCTTCCAAATACCTGCAATTGCCAGATTGTTCAGAATCCGTATAAAACAAGCTAAATGAATTAAAGTAAGCATCACCATCAGCACCAAAAATTCAGCTGTTATTTCAACCCACATTTTTAAACATTTTCAAAATGTTATACGAGTTGTAATATGGAAATATGAAGGTGTCTTTTGTTGTCAAGTGAGTGAAGACATTTTTTCTGCCTATTCATGCTTCCTTTGGAAACCGGACAGATTCTATTCCCCCAGAACACTGCAACTGGCAAAACTGTATTTTGAAAATATGTACTTATGTACTTGAAAATATGGGAAATAGGCTTTAAAAATGACACGTACTATAATGAGGACTATAATTCGGCACATACATGTAATTAAAACAATTAACAGTAATATGTAATAGTAATGACCTTCAATCCTTAGACTTAATAATAGCAAAAGAACTGAATATACTGAAATCACGTGCACATGCCAATGTGAAAAATATGCAACTGAACTGAGTTGGAATTTGTATGAGCAAACTCTGCAGTTGTCAAGTGAAAAATGTAGGACAAATAAGAAATAAATAAGAAATTTGCAATAAGAAATAAAGACTAAAAGATAAAATATTAAAAGGCATACAATAAGAAATTAAAATGTGGGGTTCACACAAGTGGTATGCAGGGATGTGTGCATAGATAGGCATTAGAAACTGAAACACAGTTCCACACTACCAGCTGCAGAAGCAGGCCAAAACATACCAATTAAAATGAAAGATGGAATAATTGTGATGACTGAGTGAGACAGAAGCAGAAGAAATGAACTAAACTAGAACTAAAACCATATACCCATGTAGCAGCATAGTGCTTTTAGAAAACAGAATATAAAGTATGTAAGTAAAGATTAGATGTACAAGACAAGGGCAGTTCAATCCTCAGTGTCTTTTACATGTACAAAAGTCTAAACCTGTGCAGTCCAAGTTATGCTTTCGGTTACTATTTGTTTAAGTGATTTCTACCACTAGGTGGACTCAGAGTTACTAATGTGGAGGTTAAGAATCTCCCAATATTCACAAAATCCACACTTGGAAAATCTTGTTTCTCAGATTCCTAATGAAACTGACCATGGCTTCATTCGACTGACCACATCCTCTATGTCTTGTCTAATCTCATAAGTGGACTCCAAGCGGAACAAATTAAAGTTCCTCAGAAGGTAATCATGCAGAGTGAGGAACTGCAAGTTCAGTTTTGGTAGAGCCAGACATCCTGAAACAAAGCATAAATAAATATTAACTCATACAAATGAACACAGTGAATTACATTCTCACAGTAACCTTAACCAATTTAATCCTGCACATTAATGATACTTATTTTTATTTTAATGTTTGCCCTTTCAATAGTGATCTACTGTTATTATACATTTTAAACACAAACACATACATTTCAATCGACCAACATTTTTCGCTAGTCATATTCTAACAAGACTCATCTATGTAATATCCCATAACTGCTCACAGTAAGAAAATTGTAACTGAGTGTCCTTCACAATTACATTCACTGTTACGCGACAGAAGTGAATGGAGTCTTGTATTCAATTCTCAAATGCATTTGAAGAGAACCCCAAGAAATTATTGCTGGATGGTCTAAATTGCCCTCCTTGTAACCTTTCTTTCTTAAATTCTTAAATTTGGATGGGTCCAAACCTTCGCCAGAGTAGTACTCTGTGGGGACAATGTTCTCGTCCCAGATGATCCTCTCTGTGGGATAAAGAGGCATCTGGTTAAGTTGCTCTATCTGAGAGATTCTTCGTTCGTGACGGGACACCTGCCAAACAAACATGAAAAAAACAATTACCCCATAAGCTTTAAACTTAAAACAAGTTGACCAGAAATATCTTCCTTGTTTGTTGGAAACACTTTGACAGCAATTACAGCTGCAAGTTTTTTGGGGGGTGAGTCTCTGCCTACTTTGCACACCAGCTTGGTGTAGTTTTTGCTCCTTTTTGGCACATTTACTCAAGTTCTCCCACGTTGTTAGGGGATCTCTAATGGCCAACCAGCAGTCATCACGTTCTTCCACAGATTCTCAATAGGGCCCCAATCAGGACTCTCTAGGGCTACTCAAGGACATTTGATTTCTTATTTTTGAACCACTCCAGTGTAACTTTAGCTTTGTACTTTAGTTTACTGTATGCTGAAAGGTGAATTTTTGTTCCAGATTTAGGTCCAAGTTAGTTTTTTCTACTAAGATGTGCCAGTACCTTGCTCCATCGATTTTCCCATCAGTCTTGACAAGTTTCCCAGTCCACGCAGACGATAACCTGAGCTATAACAACGATGTCACCACCATGCTTGACAGAAGGGATGCACTATGTTGGGTTTGCACGAGATATAAAGCTTTGCATTTAGATAATAAAGATCCAATTTTATGCTGTCTGACAAAAAAATCTTTTGCCATGTTTGCTATATCACTCAGGTGCTTTGTTGCAAACTCCATGTGGGATTTTAGATAGTATTTTCAGTTTCCTAAAGCCCCCTATTGAGAGTGATCAGGATATTGTTGACACTAGTGACGTTTTCTCCCATCTTTTGATCTATTCTTTTAAACTCATTGCTGTCCTCATAGTTGCATCTCTAATCAGTTTTCTCCTTTCCGGTTGCTCAGTTTGGACTATATCTGACGGTATCTGGGTGCCTTCTTAATTCTTAGGTGATACCTTCTTTACAATTTATTTTCTTCAGATTAATTATTTAGTTACTTCTTTTTGCGTTTGCTATGAATGTGTGAAGTAGGTTATTTTCAGTGTGTAACAAATATTAATTGCTACTTCAAAGTGTTATTTTTAAAGCATTTAAAGCAACAAAATGTGAAAGCTGTACAAGGGTCTTAATACTTTTTGCATGGCAGTGTAGGTTATTCCTGTTATTACTATTGCATCTGCGTCAGTTAGGAACTCTATTACTGCATGGAAAAGTCACCTAAAAGCTTGCTGAAACCTCTGAAAGTAGAAGTGCCCTGAGGCACTTTGTATACTTCGTGAACTACTATATACAAGGTAAACTAGCACTGACAGATGCTAGGGGATGTGGCACATAGCATGAAATGACCCAAATACAAGGACATGCTGATAGCAAGAGCTTTAATTTTACTGAACCTTTTAGGGTCACACCAATAAGTGTTGATAGACAAACTGGGTCGAGTCATATCCCAGAATGAGATGGGAGGAGAAAATGTTTAATGCTACTGCAATCAAAATCTAAATATGGAAGCTAGCTCTCAGAACAGTTCAGATATGGAATGTACTGCCTGCAGATTGATCCATTACTTTTGCTGGAATTTCTCTCAGCATTCACCATGAGATTAGAGATATTTCATTTACAGCGATTTTCATTTAGATTTCCTTAATCACAAAATTAATCCCCTCCACAATCCTGTTTCTAACCCAAGCACAGCTTTGCAAATAAGCACAATGGGATTTACACATCAACTGTCTTGGGCTTTGACTGATGAATAAATCAAGAGGAATGGATCAGCTCTCAGGGCACAGACACCCAGTTTTAATGATGCCATGTATTAACCTCCTACGCTGCCTGTCTCATCATCGGTCAAGTTGGCTCAAACAAAACCAGGGGATAATTACGGTGTGATGCAGATAAACAGTTTGAAAAAGCCCAAGTATGTAATTAAACATGATTAAATGGGTCTGCATTTTAATTTGGACACAAACAATGATGAGCTTCTAATAATTCTGTGCAAGGTCTGTTAAAAACATTGAGAAAATGTTTGCAGACTAACACAAACCCTCCAATTATTGATAAATGTATATATGCTCGAATATCTAAGCAGAGACATGGAAACAAATGTTTTTACCCTCCCTTTCACTGTTCTAAAAATGCACTGCTCACAGCATGTTTTTAATTTCATGCATTAAATGAACAATCACAAAATAAAGGTCAAGTGATATTCACAATGTATATATATCCACATATGATGTTAGAAATATATAAAGGAAAAGAACATTCAGTTAATCACTTATGTTGGTATACCGTTACAGGTAATTTTTTTCCCCCAACACACATTTAATTTAAACCACCTACCAGCAGCTCTAGGAGCATTTCCTTTTCATAGGTTGTGTTCTCTCCTTCAGGGAGTGCTGGCAACAGACAGAGGTAGGATGCCACCCGGTGGAGTGTGTTGGGACTGAAAATTCAAACATCCATTAAAAACATTTCTCACTAAGCAAAAAAGGTCATTAAAAATGCTTTCTGCATATTTAGCAATGTATAAACCAATCACTTCAGGATTAACAAATAAAACATCACAGCAAATGTCTAAACTTTACAACATAGTGTGGCAGCACTGTCTGCAGAATCCTTCTGAGGCTTTGATGTATTGGTAGGATTACACATCGGAATGGAACAATTAACTGTGTTTCAATATAATACTAAATTTTCATTGAACGGAAATACCTAATCAAAGCTTGTAAGATCTTAACAGGTCAAAAACAAATTGTTTTGCTTGAACAGACTGCTTTGTTCTCAGCCTGAACAGACAGCACCTCTGTAAGGGCTTGCAGTCTCATAGTTTGAATGTTCTGACAAATTATCACAGATGATGGGGGCAATGAAGAACCAGCATGGTCCTTCCCAAGGTGATTATCACTTCCTGATTTTTTGCCGAGGTGCAAGCACATCCTTTCACACACTCAGATGTGTGAACCACATGAGGTACTGCTGTCCCCACTGACAGCTTCAGACTGAATTCGAGAGGGTCAGCAGACGTGAGTTCAGTCCCGACTTTTAAACTTGTTCATGATAATTGTCACTGCAAACACCACAGCAATGACCTCGTCTGTTCATAACCCTGCTCATAAACTGATAATGGTAGCTTGCTTTACACATGCTGGTTTTGTAAACACAAGCACTAAAACAAAGAAATCAGACAGTGGAGAACCCACCGCAAAAGACTACCAGCTGTTTAACAGAATTAAGACCTCTGAATTATCAACAGAAGCCCTGTTACAGACTGCCTAGCAGAATGCTTCTGTCCAATAATGAACTACTACAGTTCAAGTAGGGACCTGGGTCAGCCTGCATTGGCTGCAAAGGAACAGGTAAAGGGTCATCTCATGGAAAAAAAAAACAATGTTTCCGCTTCAGGTGTGAGGGAAAGAGGGAATGTAGCAAATAAATAAGGAATAGGAGAACAAAGGACTGAGAAGTTGATGACAGAAGGAAGAAGGTGTAATCAGGATAATTTAGGTTTTGGATAAAATTTTATGCAAACAAATTTATCTTTTACACAAATGTGTATTTGCATTTGACATAAAGCTTTAGTTTCCTTTAACAGTTGACACTTAGCTTATTTGTATTCTAATTTTTATACAGCATTATGTGAGCACAAGTCTATCCCCAATTAACACTAGACTAAATTTAGCATACCAGAGACACCTGGCACAGAGAGAGCAGAAGAAGAGCCAGGTTCTCTAACATTAAGCACTGTATATTGATCAACTGCCATCTAAGCTGGTGACGAAATTTCATAGCAGACCCAGTTAAAATGCCACACAGACTGCAGGCAAGTTTCAGATCCTAACCTGATATACTGGATAGACACTGAGGGGGCACATTCAACAGCAGGTGAATGACATTAGAGAGGAAAGACATAAATATAGGTCACTTCAGCTCATCACAAGATGTCAAGCTGTGTGTGTCAGAGACTGAAATATTCATCCAGAACTAAGGATCCCATTTTCAGGAGATGCAGTGGTATGATTTTTTTAGGTGCAATCTCAGCTTGAAGAAATCAAGCTGCCTTAATTTATGGGTCAGAACTGCAATAAAAAAGAACCATTGCAATGCTGCAACATTTTGTGTTGGTGTTTCAGGCATTTGAGGATTTTCCCGACACTACTGAACCAAAACCAAACAGGCTGGACGGGCCAAATGGCACGGTCTTGTTTGCAAACTTCTCATCTTCAATCTACTGTATGATAGCGGTGGAAATCTCTAGGCACCTCGTGATTCAATTCGATTTCGATTCAGGGTGCCACAATGCGATTCTAAATCGATTCTTGATGCATCTCAATTTTGTTTTTATATATACATGATGATTTTGTTTTCTAACTGTGTGACTGAAGTATGTGAGACACGTGCTGCCATTCATCAGTGATGTAGTGCCCGGTTATAGTGACATAGGATTCTGTTGCAGTGGGCGTCCACGCATCACAGGTTATCGCCACCCTGTTTGCTTTCTTAAATGATTCCAAAACTTGAGTTTCGGTGTTGTTGTAGAGCGTTGGTACTGCCGTTTCACATTGCCGAGACAGTATGTTTTACCTCGGCTCCAGTGTTTACAACATTAAGCGAAAGCCCTTTTCCGAACTATGTGGAAGCTTTGACACTTGCTCGAGGGCTCTCTGTTCGGCAGCAACAAGAACAGGCTGTTTTTCCTCCAAGTCCGGATGGAAATGTGAAATGTGATTTCGCGTGATAGTCGTATTGCCGAAATATTTTGTCTTGGTATGACACAGCTTGCACACTGCATGGCTCTTATCCAGTTCATTTTTACCTATTACTTCATAAAATCCAAAATGTGCCCATACGGCGGCTTTCCAAGCAGAGGGTGCAGGCCGGAGTTTGTCCATCTTCACAAAGTGGGTAGCTTAGCTTAGTTCAGATGTAACTATGGAGCACTTGTTTACCTATATGTCTTTATGTTTCACCATGCAATTAGTTTATTTTAAGCCCAAAAACCTAAACCATTATTATATACTCTATTTGTCCTTTACTTTATGCTGTATTGTTTTTATTTGAAATTTTTTAGAACTGTGCATGATAAAAATTAAAAGATCGATTATGGAGTTTTGTGTATTGATGCAGAACCATACAAGAGAGAATCATGATGCATCTAGGAATCAATTTTTTCCCACCCCAACTGTATGATCACATACCGTATATTTGTGACTCACAACCTTACCTCTAACTGATCAGGAGTTTCTCACTTAACAATGTTAACAGAATCCCATCATATAAATAACAGACCGTTGCAATACTATATCTCAATTACAGAATTTCACATCTTGAAACTATTATTTGCAAAGTCTCATATCAAATATGACATTTGCACCTTTTGTGCCATCCATTAGCAGACTTTCAGGTTGCTGGAGGATTTTTTCCCAGTAAAAAAAAAAAAGATACATTTAATATTACTTGGGCTATATTTGTGTCTGTTGTTTGGTAAAATTCAATTTTATTTTTTAGACCAACCCACTTATACCACTTTCAGTATATGAAAGTGCTCATCCATAACTGACACATATCTTGCGCAAAGACCAGAACTGGTTATTTGCAGCATAAACTGCATTGCATTTAAATTCAGAATACCACCAGAGCTCTATGAAAATGAAGCCCTTACTCCCTTTCAAATTCTGAAAACCGCTCATCAGCACTAAAATCATTAAAAAAAAATCTCTGACAAAGGAAGGGTTCTCCGAGCAAAAACAAGTGCAAAAGAAACTAGTTTTGATTTTTCTTTCACCTGGGGTGTTTCTTATTGCTTTCCACAAACATCATAAAAAAGTAAAATATTTTTCTTTCTTTGCTTTTAAGGGACCAACTCTAAGCATTTCTATTAGTTTTCATTCAAAACCACATAAACCAATTTTCAAGTTCAGTTGAATCTCAATACTATACAATACACATAAATTCCTACCAAAAGGCTTGAAGTTAGAGACTTGTGTACTGTTAACAAGTAATATTTCTACACTGAAAAGGAAAGAAAAAAGTGGAGAAAGATTTACCGAGAGTTATCCACTTCAGTCTATTATAAAATGCAACCTCAGGATTTACAACACAATCTGTGCTGAAAAATTAAAGGGTAAGATATTTACCTCAGATAGCCAAATTGTTTTATGAGAGATTCACGAGTGTCCACTGCTGCCACATTGGATAAGGCAAAGTCGTGAAGTTCTGGAAAGTGAGCAAAGGCCGCCCGCTGAAAAATGTAAAAAACAGACTTTCTATAGGCACCGTACACCACTATTTAGGAAATTTCAGCCATTTACTAAATAAAAAAAATAATCAGTATCACTTTTACCTGCAGAGATGTGATTTTGTCATAGTGCAAAGTTGTCATCTCATTCTCTGTTAACGCGTTCCCTGTTTGGTCATTGATTTCAAAGCCTGTGTAGAACTTCAACATGTCCAGAAGCTGCAGGCAAACACAGTAGTAAAGACATAATAAAAACTGAATGATGCCATTTCCAAATGCACAAAACATAAAAAACCTAAATGTGAACTTATGATAATTATGGATCATTTTGTTTGATTGCAGTAACTATGAAAAGTAGGTAGCTGCGTCAGCTTGCGTAGGTTGCAAAGGAACTAAAAGGTTTATTTCATGCTGAAAAGGAGAGACACGACATTTTGCCTGTGAAGCCTTCTTCTCTTCTTCACATAAGAGAAACGTTGCATCTCTTTGCTTTTAAGCATGAAATAAACCTTATTACTATGAAATATTAATGACAGAATAAATACAACATCCAGTCCCTTATGAATTTAATCAACCATTTTAAACACAGATGATAACATGTTAGAAGTAAAAGAAGTACTTGTATAATATTTAGATTACCAGTCATAACAGCAGCTTGAACACATGCAATGGAAGTTAACTAATAAAACTGCCGCACTGGTCAGGAAAGACCAAATGAGGACACTTGACTCCTTGGAAATGGTATTGTTCATTCTTCTTCAATGAGTCCACAGATCCTCTAATATTTATGCACTTTAAAGAGTAATGTTATTCTCTTGCATAACATGCTAAAGGCACTTTTGTGGAGGTCTTATTCCTGATATTTTACGTTACTGAAATGATTGTACTGTTACAAGAAGTGTGATATATACTGTTTACACTGCATAGTGTTTCACTGTGTTCTCTCACCTGACAGAAAAGATGCCCTTCCTTTTCTCTTCGAGAGAGACTGGACAGGTAACAGTGGACAACAAGATGGGAATCATCCAGAACTGTATTAAACCAGCGACGAGTGGGGAGCAAAGCCTGTTTTTTTTTTTAAAAAAAAAACAAATTACCCCATTTACAGCTTGTACAGTGTTCCAAACTAATCAGTTCAAGAACCGTAAAATTAGAGTAAGGTCTTAAAACACAGGCAATACGTCTCGGAGAAGTCTAATTAGAACAGAAGTTTCCACTCCAAGGAAACAGCCCCTACCTCTAAATCGATCATCAGTTCTATGAACCTTTCACAGTAATGCACCTTTTCCATGGAGACAGGACCTAAAATAGGGAGAATGCACGGGTTAGTATGCCTAATCTAAAAAACATAAACCTATAGGGGACACGATGTCAACATGAATGAGTGAGGAAAAATGAAATAAGAAAAACCCCTTTGACGTGCTAGCCCAAAACAAGCTTGAGCTCTCTGCACTGCTGCACTGTGTCCTCTGAATCACAGCTCTGTCAGCCTGCAAAGTAACCTCCACTTGGAGACGTTACAGACTGTATTTCAGGCCTGCGTTCTCTCACACTCAGTGTGGTATTCTGAAGCCCGATGAGGTGAGTGGTCGCCCCCCCAGGGAGAGCAGCTGACAAAAGAAATTACAGTTTTCAGCCAGCAGGGTGTCTCAGCACACTGGAGTGCTGCTCTCAGTTTGTCAGCCCTCTTCAGTCTACAGTGCAGCAAAGTCTAAGGTTTGGCAAGTAGCCTTAAACCTGCAATTAGAGTGAAGCAATAGAAGGATCCTACACAGGTCTATTCTTGGCATGTATGGGAGGCAGTGTGGGGGGGGGCATGTCAGGCAAAGTTAAAGCAGAGTGCGTGTATATTGAGAGTCTTCAATGGCTGCCAGCAGTGTTCTGGGGAGCATGTGGCTGTAGCAGGCTGGGCTGTTTTTAAAAAGAAGTTGCTATTCCTATCCTAAGGGGCAAATATTCTTAGAGATAAAAGATTTGCTTTTGCAAATGCAAACCGCACAAAAACCCTTGGCTGAAAAAGAGATGATCTGCACATTGTAGATGTCGCGGGTACACAAGCAGCATTCCCAAATGGAATTGTGGAAATCTGTCAGCTCTTTAAAGTGGAATATTAAATACTAAACTTTGTTTTATTTTGCCATGTACTTGTTTTCAAAGGCAAAAGCACCAGTAGTCTACTTTTTCAAAAATCACTATAGAGTTTAAGGGTGTTACAGCACAGTCTCACTTCACTGGTTGGATATGGGTCCAAATGAATGCTGGGCCTGTCCTGGTTCTCACTGCACTTTCATTTTCTGAAACTGTCAATTACATCACCAGCATGTTTTACATATTAAAAGGGACCCAAATAATTTGCCACTTATGGGCAGCACCCACCTGCACCAGCATCCACACGGCAGAAGAGATCAGGTAAGGAAGGTGGAAACTGATGCTCCACATGAATTAAGGGAGAACTTTAGAAATGCAGGATTGTGTAAGCCCAAAGAAAATGGGGTTAACACCCCTACACTTAAAGTCACTGTCATGAGATATAACGCACCTTATCATGTCGGGAAATGTGCAGAATTTCAGGATGTTTAACTAACTCCAGAATTAAACAACTCCACAGTGAGGCAAACCTGCCTTATAACAGTCTATAAAGACTGTGAGAGCTCTCTTTGCTAGATGAATACTACCTTAGAATAGTAAATGAAAATGTAGTCCAGCAGTGAAACTCTTAACACATGTGAGATTTTGCCTGTTATATTCAGCAACTGCAGTGTTTTCTTCCTGCGTCATTTTAAGATGATAATTCAGGACTTATGATGTTATGTAAATTCATATTGGACATTAAGATGGACTGAACTGCCTCCAATCCTACAATTAAATATTCAATCAAAATTAAGAAATGCAAAGAGGCAATGTGCAGGAGTAGTGGGGGTCCTGGACTTGGAACTGGAAGGTTATGGGTTCAAATCCAAAGTGGTGCATTGCCTCTGTACTCAGAATGCTCCAGAAAAATCTCCAATTACACAGATGGGTACAAACTGAAGTCACTATATAGAAACGTCAGGTCTTTAACATTAATAAAAAAGTGAAAGTCCTCCTTCAATTAAAATACTAATTGCTCTGTATGAGAAAAGAAGAATAAACACCTGATGGAGGAATGGACATCAGGACTCCAAGGAATTTTCTGAGAAGTAATGACAGAAATGTTCTCTCTTTATTAGCCCTGGAAGAAATAAAAAAGACTCTACATTATGAGCACTTTTGAATTATAACTAAGAGAGTTAACATCAAATATTTAGTAAAGTGAAAGAGTTAAAAAAAACATTTCAAGTGTTAACTACAATATAGAGCAGATATCTCTCAATTCACAGAAGTGAAACAACACAGTCTAATAACATGGCTCACAAGGACCTGGATAGATCCTAAATAAACGTCAAAGGCTCAAATGTGTTACAGAAAATACACCATCATCACACTACGATCCTTCTGAATTTATCCGCAAAAATACAGAGTCAATTATTTTCCTGATCAAAATCAGCATTCACTTATACTGTACACAGAGAGGTAACCAAGTATCCAAAGGCTAAAAATTCTTACTGCTCCTTGGGTTTCTCATCCATTTTGTCATAACTCTTCTTAATCAGATTCCAAAATTTCTGCAGTTTAGGTGCTTTCTTCATCTCGTGTTCAAGTCGTGACTAAAACAATTAAAAATTCAAAAGTGTGAAATGTAATTAAATTAACATTTTGTCCTAAATTCTGACTATGAAGTTTACATTAGAAAAACGCAATATTGCCTTTGAACTGTTGGAGGACGTACTCATAGATACATTTCTAAAAAATATATACAGCATATTACAGAGACAAACTGCCTTTATCAACAAAACCTACCAGTCTGTAACATTTCCGAACTATAATCAAGTTTTCTGAAAGGACCTATAAAAGAACCCTTATAAAATACAGCCCATCTAGCACTTCTGAACTATAATCAAGTTTCCCGAAAGGATCTATAAAAATACAGTTATAAAATACAGTCCAAGGAACCTTGTGCTAAATCTCACAGGATCCATATCAATCATCTGTTCGAATACTAACTGGAGCTTCTGAACAGTCAGCAAGTACAGGGGAAATCATTTTTCTCATTTCCTTCTGACTTCTTCCTGTATGGAGCACCATTCATCCTTGAGTAAAAGCACTCAGAAATTTAAAGTCAGTCCTTCAAAGTGTTCATTACAATAAATGTTCTGGTTTAAAAAGTGAAACTGAAAGTGTGATTTGTATTTCATCCATCCATCCATCCACTTCACTGGCCTATGTTAAATGCCATATTCTATATATTTCGCAGTGCAGTGTTACTGGATTCTTAGAATGCGCTTACCGGTAGCAGACAAACCCACATGGGAAGAGAGATCAGCTGCTGTACCTGTTCTCTGATCAAGTCTACTTCCTGTCAGATAGAAGAAATATAAGTTATGCCGGTGGTGTACTGCAGGTAGGGAAACAGGGAAACATCACTTAGATTTGGCCTAGGGTTCATCACTTAAGTGCTAAACAAGGAGAAAACACTGCAGACCAGAAGGCTACACAACTGTCTTCTATGTTTCATAGTGACTATTCTTTACGTCATTTGTTTCAAATAACACTGTTAGTGAACACTCAATGACTACAGTCTGACTAACAGTCAAACTGCCGCTGTCCACATCTGCGGCCAGAAAGCCGCTAATCCTGGCTGCGGAAAGTAAGACTGTATCCCTGAGCAACAGCCTTGCTCTCCCTCTGGACTGGACAGCAGCACACGGCAGGGCCATGGAGAAGGGGGCGATCAAACCAACAAAACGCGGGAGGAAACTAAAGCTCCCTGTGCTGGAGCTATGAAGCTTCTGTGGTGCGGCAGCACCATCAAGTTCAAGTTTTACGTGGTCAGTAACTTCAAATTCCTTGGCGTCCATCTCACCGAGGACTTCACATGGTCTCTCAACGCCACCTGTCTGATCAAGAAAGTGCAACAGCGCCTGTACTTCCTAAGACGGTTGAAGAAGGCTAAGATATGTTCCCGGATCCTCACTAACTTTTAGTTATACATGTTGTTATACCATATACCTGTATATGAGTATAATGACAAACTTGAACTTGAACATGCCATCCACAATTGAACACATGAAGTAACAATCATACGCATGTGCTGAATAATAAAATTTAAAAAAATAACTCAAATACTTGCTCCAAATTTAAAGAGTAGAAATGTTAAAAGCTTCATTGATGGTCAATATAACTGCATTAACTTTGATGGTAGGATGTGCTATTTAAAAAAAAAAGAAAACCAAACAGCTCCCTTCCACCACCTAGTGGTCAGAAGTTACAAACAGCTACACATTATCCATTTTCCATTTTCTAACTGCTTTATGGAATACATGGTCACGAGAGAGCCTATCCTGGCCAGCAACGGGCACAAATCAGGACACACCCTGCACAGGACATCAACCTTGGCAGGACACACACAGAGACAAACACAGACCAGACAAACCAGGGCCAATTTTCCTAAAAAACTACCAGTATGTCCTTGGACGGTGAGTGGAAACTGAAGCAGCTGGAGGAAACACAGGGATACAGGGAGAACCCTGTGCCCTTAACTCAATGCAGAGAGCACCCCAGGTCCAGAATTGAACCCAGGGCCCCAGCGCTGCAAGGCAGCAAGGCTCACCATGCTAACCATTGTGCCACCATGCCAACCTTCGTCTGACCTCATATGACTTAAAAAAATCTTGATTTACCAGGCTGTTGAAACAGTGATCCAAAAAGAGCAGAAGTACAGTCTGTTGTCGCAATGACAAATCGCCTTCTTCCCCAGCTAATGATGCTTCCAAGACACACTTGAAAAAATATGGAAAGTGTTCTGGCTGCTTCTTAAAAACCTGGGAAAGAACAGCAAAATGGAAACATTAATTACACAGGACTTAATCATATACCATTTAGATTAAGGCTAACATATTAAAAGAACAAACTGTGTTTTATTTAGACAATAAACATGCCTATCCATGAATTTTGTTCAAACCATACCAGAAATTTAACAAACTGTTCCCTAATATTACACATGCACTCAAAGAAGAGTTACACCTAACTGGCCATAATCAAATTAATGACATGATGATAGACTACACCACAACAATATAAAAATGATTAAAATTATTTATAAAAATAATATATACATCTACATTTTAGAAAAAAAAAGGTACTTACACAGAAAAACTAGATTTCTTACCTCCCATGCTGGTACATTTTCTCTGAACTTTTCATTAACAATACAGCAGATAGACATTAAATATGCATGACTGGATACCTCAGGGGTATAGTTCACCCACAGGTAATTCTCCAGATACTGACTGAAAGAATAACAACAAACCAAACGTTAGTAATAGCACATTAAAAGACCCTTTTACAATGAAAATCAAATTTAAAAGAATAACAATAGAAAGTTACCTAAACTCCAGCAGCATGATTTTTCTAATTGCAAACCTAAAAGAATAAGGAAAGAGTTCATGTGAAAGACATATTAGGTATCAATGTAAGTGATCAATATGAGTGACTGGTGTTGTGTGGTGTTTTAGGTAATCAGTGCTATGACAAAAGACTCCCACAATATCACTGGCTAAAGATGATCAGATTAAACACAGAACAGGAGGCACTTCTCTACTCAAATTCTTTCAAAGAAAAGACCGAATGAGAGCATTGGATTAATTAGCTAATAACCAAATGGGGGCTTTTCATTTGTAACAGTTCTTATGTTTCTATAATTCCAGCAATGTGCCATTGTTCTGTATGTATACAGTAAATTTCTCCACCCGTACTGTCCTTCACAATTTCAAGGACCCAGTCTCAGTGGCATGTTGCTGTGTCATCAATGTTAGATTTCTGAAGGCTTACTCACTTAGATTTCAGAATTTCTTTCTGATACACATCTTCCAAAACCTGGAAAATTACACACAAAAAAACAATACATCGGCATACATAAGTAAACTGAAACTTTGAAAATCAGACTGAAAATGTGCAAAAATAAAAAAAACATTGACTTCATGACTGCACTGGGACAGGGGTTCTCAGGTTTTTTATCCCCGCTGAGGTGCCTCTTAACTTTTAAAAATCTCAAAGCACAAACAATACAAAATGTAAAATTTTATCAGGGCTGCAGGCCACAAAAAACCTCCAATTTTGCCTACTGATTCTGTTGGTTAAAGAAGAAAAACTCATTATTATGTAAGACTGCTGACGTTATACACCATTGTGATGTTTCAGAAAATAAATTGTGATATGCATCTAGAAATCCCTTGGAGAACCTCGAGTTCTGCCAGATGAGAGTCAGGGTGTTAAAGAGCAGTTGATTACCTTTGGATCAAAGGGCAGTTTCTTTTTGACATGAGGAGCCCAATACTTATTTGCCAACTGAAATAAAGAATAAAAATGAGTTAGTGTTCGAGGCAAAGGCATGATGATGGTAAATTAGTATATAGGCATTCGTTTCTTAATGAAGTATAAAAACGGAAAGAAAAAACACGCTGTCAAAACGTTGTGGGAGAAAAAAGATTTTCTCCGTACCATTTTTTCAAAAAGAAATTTAAAGAAACGGTACCTGTGTCACATATTCAGCGTTGATTTGCGATACAGAAGGTGCAGAAGCCTTCTTCACTTGAGCAACTTTCTCCATGTTTTCTGTAATGTAAAAAAAAACACAAGTCACTCTCCATTCTCCAGTAGTCAATATCTATTTAAATATAATACAGATCTCCTCAACTGCGAAAGTCATTAAAGTTGAGACACTTCAATGCAAAACAAGAAATAAAATGTTGTCAATTTAATCGAGACTATTCAATTCGGAGACTTAATACAATGCATAAACTTTCTGTGAGACGAAAACATCAAACTGAAATTCCAGTATTCCGCGACTACATGTAATAAAGTATGAAATATTTCGAATATGCTGGATAGTTTTCATTCTTCGGAAACAGTGACGTTTGTAAATACTGGTAGCCAAGCTTCTTGGTTCACCCAAATTTTAACTCATCTGTAAAGTAATAATTCTACCAAAGCAAAAGACGCGATGTTTAAAACTACCATAAAAAAAGAAGAAACCAACCCGATCTCTTCTTTTCAATTCTTTATTTCTTCTTCGTTTCAAAACCAGTGATGCCTTAGTGTACGCATGTAATCAAACAAAATTCAACGCGCTTTCTGCGACAAAGTTCCTGTGCCACACTTTCATGTGTTCCCCCAGAACTGTGTAATGAAAAGGATAGTTCCTAGGTTTTAGTTTGAGGGTGCTCTTTACTGTGTTACACAAAAATTGAAGGTATATTAAATGTTTTAAACGATTAGAAATGACTCTAAAAATATAAATCCAATTCGATATGCAATTGTACTGTAGACTTACATATTGTGCAATGTTTGAATCCTCATATAAATGTGATGTAGCTTATGAAAATTTGTTTTTTTCCGAGACATTTTGATGTATTCTGTATTTTTAGTGAGAGAAAACGGCGTTTGTTTTTTTATTACATTAATCGTGTTAAATCAGTAAAACAAACAGAAATACAAACCGATAAGCAGTTACGTTGTGCAATAGATTGAAGGATGAAAAAAAGCATCCCATGTGTTTCTGAATGACGCAACAGTGCTTTCTTCTCATTGTAGCATTTCCATCAGTAGCTACTTTTCCTTTTTCCCTTTATCAAATCTAGCTTTCTCTTTTAAGAACACTGATCTTGGATCTAAAGAAGCAGGTCTTTCTACAAAGAAACAAGAACATATATACTGATGGAAAAAAGAAGCGCAGCTTTTTAGGGAATTAGAATACTATGGTTATAGTTTATGTACTTTCACAAAAAGTTGTCCATTTGTTTTAAGCTCTCTAACCAGCAATACAGCTTTTGCAGTGAGGCATTGCAACTTGCCAGTCACACTAAAGCTCGTTAGGTGCACTTTTACCCAACGAGGTCCAGGTGGAACAATGCCTGATCAAGTCAACTTTCAAAATGCCTTAATTGAAAGATTAGGTCACTGCAAGAAAAAGGCCACACTTGGGTCAGTTTTCTGTGCATTACATAATGCCTCAAATGTCACCAGAAGCAAGAGAGAGGACCATTGGCATGCAACAAACCAGCAGGACAGATAACTGTCCAAGATCTGGTTGCCCTCCAGTGACCACACCAGAGCAGGACCGACACATCAGACTGGTCCATCTGAGAGATCATTCCAGATCTGCCTCCCGTACTGCTGATGAAACTGCTGGCAGACACAATGCCCACATCAGTGACAGGACAGTGAGGCTCCATGCTGCTGGCATCCTATATCCTGCAGTTCAACTTTTTCAAAAACCAACACAGAAACCAACTTTTTCACACCAACACTGCACAGTGTTATCGGCATCCTTAAGGGACAAATGTGTCCCCTCCTGGCGCTAGGGGGAAAAATCTGTAGATTTTCATTGCAACTCAGCTTTTTTACAATGAAAGAGCCACTTCTAATGGCTTTTAAGGTGCTGTTGCTTTAAAGAGACCTAGAAATAATACAGACACCTGGTTTTTAGCAGCAGGACTGGATGACCCTACTAACACTACTGTTGAATCTTCTCTGAAGTATAATGGCTATTCAGCAACTTCTCCTAGTTGAAAGATGGACTCCACATTAACGTGTATGAGAAATATGTAATCTGTGTTTAGAGAGAACTAGCTGTCTAAGAACAGTCTTGTAATTTGGCATTTCAGAAGATCTGTGACATTACAGTTAACATTGAGCAAAATAATAGTTACAGTATGATACTTTTGAAAACCTTCTTCCAGTCCTGTTGGTTAGGGGTAGCTAATGTGGTTAGCTAATGGTTCTGTAATTGTGTTTTACATGTTAAAACAAAATACTAATACCAATATATTTCACTGTGCAACCAAATCACATATTTCTATTCAATAATAACCAAGTTTGTTTCTTACTAGCATTCAATGCTGCCACAACAACACTTTACTCACCTGTAAAAATAAGTACCTTCTTCACTGCTTCATAAACACTTTATTTGTGTAGTCGAATGCAGTAATTATGATATTGACTTCTCCTTATTCTGGAGCTTTGACCAGCTGAGGACTAAAGTAAGAACAGTTCTAACAATATGAATAACGCAACTGAATCATTTGCTGTCATGTCTTACACCTTATTGATCTGACTTTAATACTGTAAATAGAATGCAACAACAAAAACAAATACCCAATGTTCAATTTCTTTTCCTCTATTAAATCTGCAATACAGACAAGAATGTTTCTTTTTGTCTTCTAGATGTGTACATCTACAGATAGCAATACAACACTTTATTATATATTTTAAAGAAGGAAGGATAACATTTTGTGAAATAATAAACATTTAATGAAGATAAGCATCTAGAAAAAGATAAACCAACTTTTAAAACCACACATGATAAAGGTTTGTGCAATATTTATTGTACTACAAAAACATTAAATAAGTATTGTGCAATATGTTAATTTTGAACTCAGTTCATGGGATTCACATTTTTGGATTAAATGTAACTTCATAGGAAAGGATTGCACTACACTGACAGGTGCAGAGGTTAGGCTGTTGAATGCAGCTACTGCTTGGCACTGTGGGGGTGGAGCGGTGGCACTGTGGCTGGAAGGTTGCTGGTTCAAATCCTACGGCTGGCAGAGGAATCCTACTCCGTTGGGCCCCTGAGCAAGGCCCTTAACCCCAACTGCTCCAGGGGCACTGTACAATGGCTGACCCTGCGCTCTGACCCCAAGCTTCTCTCCCTGTCTGTGTATCTGTGTCTCATGGAGAGAAAACTGGGGTATGCAAAAAGACAAATTCCTAATGCAAGAAATTGTATATGGCCAATAAAGTGATCTTATCTTATTCCAGAACTCTGAACAACAGAGGATTTGGAGCAGAGACAGTATTTTAAGTGATGATAACAAACCTGAATGAAATACTGCCATGTCATTCACCTGTCTGGTCCAACTTGAATCTACACAACATAACTCTTAAAAAACAGTCGAAACACCCAACACTCAATGTCTTCATTTATTCTATTAAATCTGCAGAACACAGATTTGAAATTGAGCAATTCTGTAGACCATAATTTCTGGATTTTATGCAGATAATGATTATAGATGTAATGAAATGTCCAGTGGTATATATTCTAAGAGGGGAAGGATTGCATTTGTCAGAGCTAATAGGCCTACATGTTAATTTAAAAAATATAATTCCATAGTTAAATCTATAACATAAATGAAATATATATCAAACATCAAATGTAAGACAAATATTGTTTTGTAATCAACAAATGGTACACCTTTATGTAAGCTTTATTTTGTACAATAAAAAAACTATCATTTGTGCAAAACAAACTTCAGCTTTGAGTGCAGTTTCATGTTTGTTTAAAAAGCAACAAAATTATTTTCAGAAAAAGAATGGACTACAATGCACTTATACATGTATGAATACACCATATAAAATGGAAAGTGACATGCAGCTGTTTAAATATAACTTTAAAAAACTGCAAATATATTGCTACAATTCTTTCCTTAGTTTGAGACAATGACTACTGCATTTCAAATAAAAGAAATTCCAAAGATCTATAAATAAAAACTCACAACATAAAATAAAAGTAAATAATTAGATATAATCACACATATTTTATGTAAAGGCATGCATTTAAAAGTCTCAAAAGTATGAACCACAAAGTACTTCAATATTATTAAAATTATGTTCAGGTACTCTTCCAGTATAAAAAAATAATACAATATAAAAGACAGGAATACCATTATATTGCTGATCATCATATGAGTCGCAAGAGGGCTACTTTCAAAGATGCAGGACACAAAAATGCAATGACGACTTGAAAATAAAAAACAAATGCATTAGCCTTATTAAAACAAGTATACATGCCTTTTCTACGTTGTAAAACCTGATAAATGTAAACAAGATCGAAAAATGACGAACACTCAATTCACCCTCATGCTTTTTGAGAAATACCAAAAAAGTTATGTCTTCTTCTTTTTCACAGCCTCAGTCCCAGACTGTTCTGGGGTCAGCTTCCAAAAAGTTATGTAAACTACTTTAAACAAAAACAGCAACTGATCTTTTTGCACATATATCAGTAACTCAATAACATTGTCTTTTACATTTTTACAAAAAAAAAACTGTTTGGATCCGGGTCATGTCAGGTTTTTCTACTTGAAGTGAGTAAGCTGATGTGTTTTTAAATGGCAAGACTGGGTAAAAGTCTTCCTGCATACAGAACACTCAAATGGTCTTTGTCCTGTATGAATTACATAGTGTCTTTTGAGTTTAGAGGGAGAATCAAAGCTTTTGAAGCATATAGCACATTGATAAAGGCTCCTGCTTGTACTTTTTGCTTGGGTCTGATTTTTAAAAGTGCACTTGTGCACTTGAAGCTTCCTTTCTGTTCCAAAATAACGATTGCATTCCATGCACTTGAAAAGTCCACTCGGACTGGAGGAACTCCAGTATCCATTAGTATAATCAGACTCTGAGGCCGTATCAAGTTCAGGCAGATCATCCCCTGATCTCTCAACTGCTACCTGATTCGTATTATATTGTGGACAGGTTTTAGAATCAGCTTCAAGCTGCCATGACTGATGCATATTCTGGCCCTGATGATCCTCACTGAAGTCATTGTTTGTTACCTCCTGCTGAAGGGAATCTGAGCCACCAAACTGTTTTGCATGAATTCGCTGATGAACTTTGAGATGTGCAGCCTGTCTAAATGACTTATTACACACAGAACACTCAAAGGGCTTCTCCCCAGCATGAATTAAGTAATGCCTTTCAAGTTTTGAAGGGGAGGAAAAACATTTGAGACATTCAGAACACTTATGCTTCTTCTCTTTCTGTTTCAATCCATCTTCTACTTTTGCAGATGAGTCTGTGGCACATTCTTCCAGTATTTCGTCTGATACTGTATCATTAGCTTCTTGTGCTGGATCCAAACTGCCATTAACAGTTAAGCACTGGTTAGTGTTCTGTCCATGTGGTTCTGAAACACAGTCTGCCTGCTCTTCTAGACCTTTTATGTTTTCCTGAATAGCTCCGGATGCACACCATGGTATTTCATAAGTCAGCTTTTCAGAAGGGGGGTGATTCTCTGATTGATTCTGAAGACTGCAGGGATGTTCTTTCTCAAAATCACTTTGCGTCTTATCACAGAATTTCCACTCTGAATGGGTGTGCTGGTGATTCTGAAGGTGACAAAGCTGCCTAAATGACTTTTCACACATGTAACATTTAAAAGGTTTCAGACCAGTGTGAATAAGGAAGTGCCTTTTGAGTTTGGAAGGGGAATTAAAACTCTTTGGGCATACTGAGCACTGATATTCCTTCCTTTGACAACCTTTCCCTTGGCTTGATTCAGGGAGATTTGTCTGGGGCATATTACAACTCTCTTCTTCAGAAAGACATGTGCTGTATTCACCCATTGTGCTTTGTGGTGGATTATGTGGAACTGCTGGCTCAGCTAGGTTTAGCTTTTGTTCTTGCAGGACAAGGGACAGAGAAGACACAGCAAACTGATCATCATAAAGAGATACTCCCTGTGCACTCTGGTTGTGCTCCTGGTTTACATTACTTTCATAAGAATGTTTTAATGCTCTTAACTTCTTAAGGGTATGTTGATGGGTTTTTAAATGAGATGGTTGCCTAAATGAATTTGAACAAATGTAACACATGAAAGGCTTCTGTGCAGTATGAATTAAATGATGCCTGTCTTGTTGAGAAGGTGCTTCAAAGCATTTTAAGCATCTGGTGCATTGATAAATCCTTTTACTGTCATGAACACTTTCTCCATTTTCAGCCTCATGATTCTGCATGTTAAGAGCCAGTGAATCCGCAGTAAAACTGCTCTCTACTTCTTTATTCTCTGGTGTTCCACTGCCATCGACAGCATAACTTTCTTGTTTCAAAACATCAGACCGTAATGTGTCTGTATGTTGTTTCTGTTTCTTGTCTTGGGAGACACTGGCATGGGACAAAATGCTAGGGGAAAGGTGTCCTTGAGGACTGTGGTCTCCATGGTGCAGTGGCTGACTAATGGACTTTTTAAGACCATTGTGACTTTGTTGGTGTCTTTTTAAATGAGTCAGCTGTCTAAATTTCCTTTCACAAACATAGCATTCAAAAGGTTTCTGCCCTGTATGTGAAAGATAATGCCTTTGAAGTTTGGAAGGACAATCAAAACTCTTGTGACACAAGCAGCACTGATGGATACGCTTTTTGACATTTTTTCCTTCTGTGCGTCCAGTATTTTGATGCCCTAGTGACGTCTGATCTTGCATCAGACATTTCTTTTGCACTGGTGTTCCGTTTGTGTCCGTCACTAAATCAACATAGTTATCCAGGATGGGCTTCTCAGATTCTAAGTGTGCAGAGGATTCAGTGAGTTGGACTCCATCGTGTGTTTTTCCAGCTCCACTAAAGAAAGCCGCTGGTGCAGTGTTAGACACACTGTGTAACAGAGGTGGTCTCTTCTGGGTGTGGTTCTGCTTTATGTCTGCCACCCTCCTGAGAGAAATAAGCCTCCTGTGTTGCAAGTTGCTTTTCATAGTTTTTATATCTCTGTGAGTGCGGTAGTGGGCTTTTAAATGGGATGACTGTCTGAAGGCCCTCCGGCAAATATGGCACTCAAAAGGCCTCTGTCCAGTATGAATGAGATAATGCCTCTCTAGTTGTGAGGGTGCACTAAAGCATTTTAAACATTTAGAGCACTGATAGACTCTTCTGCTGACATCTGCATTGTCACTGTTTTCAGAAATGTAGGTGTGGTTCGCCTGATACACTTCTTCGGTAAAAGCATCCTCATCTATAGTATGTTCAGCGATTTTACTGAATTCCACTAAATTTGTGTCTTCTTGTGACTGCGGAGCATTATCATGATTAGGCTGACTTTGAGATGTTTTCTCATTTCCCTGGGACTGATCCTGACTGCTCAATCTGTTCGCATTAAGAAATTTCTGCTGCTGAAAGGCACTTTTGAAAGCCCTCCATTTGTTGTGGGTACGCTGATGTACTTTTAAGTGTATGGCTTGCCTGAATTCTTTACCACATGCAAAGCATCGAAATGGCTTCTGCCCAGTATGGGTCAAGTAATGCCTTTGAAGTTTGGAAGGGCAATCAAAGCATTTTAAACACATCAAACACGGATGTGTCCTGTGGTTTTTAATCTTGTCCGAGCCCAGAGTATGTTCCTCAGGCAAGCTTTCTGTTGAAATTGAGATCCGTGTTTCGGGCTGATCGAAACTTTCACTGCTGCTAAAAATGTTTTCTTGAGCATTCGCTATATTCATATCCGAATCAATTTCAGGAGGCTGCGACTCTTCCAGTTCACTTTGTTCAAGAGGGTTTTGCTCCAAAGAGGCATCTAAATTCAAAGCAGTCTCTGCAGTCAAACTTCCACTTCTAATTTGCTGAGGGGTAGAAGGGTCACGGTCAATGTTTGTCTCTTCCTGCTGCAAATGTTCAAGTCTGATGTGGGTGCGTTTATGGAATTTTAAATGTTCAAGCTGTCTAAATGTCTTGCCACATGCTTTACAATCAAAAGGTCTTTGCCCTGTATGAATTAAAAAGTGTCTCTGGAGTTTATAAGGTGATGTAAAATATTTTGAGCACATAGCACACTGATGGAGTTTCCTGTTAAGTGTTTGGTGTTCACTTTTAGTATAATCAATTGTTTGTTGTAACAGATTATTTGAAATTGTCTCCTCAGGTGCTACAGTGTCTGCAGCCTCTTCATCCTTGTTGTCATGCCAGTGTTCGTATGGCTCTTCTGGTTTCACAACAATATTAAGTTGAAGCTGTTTAGCCTGTTGTAGGGCATTCTCTTCGCAGGGCTGGAAAGATCTTTGCTGCACGTTGTCCGTGTCCCCAGATGGATGTTGCCTGTGGTGGCCATCAGTTAAAGCAGAATCCTGAACAGTCCCCGAGTCTTGTCCCAGGAATACATAATTAGAATCATCCACTTTTCTGTGCTTTGCCTGATGTTTTTTCAAATGAGCTGCTTGTCTAAATGTTACACCACAGATTGGGCATTTGAATGGCCGTAATCCTGTGTGAATCAGGTAGTGGCGCTCAAGTTTTGAGGCAAATTTAAAAGACTTCAAGCAGATGCTGCACTGATTGCGAACATATCCGTTTTCATGGACAGATTTCTCATCTAATGCAGTGAAATTAAGGAGCTGTTTTGTTTCCGTTTTGAGATCATGTATAGGTGAAGGCGCTGTGAGATCTTCTTCACTATTTGAAGATTTGTTGTTGGACTCATGCGCAGGAGTGATATTAACAGAACAATTCAGTTGGGACGGTGGATATGAGCTCATAGGCTTGTGCTCTTTGGGGCTACAGAGTTGTGCTGGAACCAAAAAAGATTCATCACAATTTGAAAGCAGATGTTTACTATGGCTTTCATCTTGGTCATCAAATTCACCTGTCTCACCAAACGCCTCCTCTTGCAGAATATTATCAAAGTCTCTGCCATTTCTGTGGGTTTCTTGATGAACTTTTAAATGTGCCAGTTGTCTAAAGGTCTTTCCGCATTCCCAGCAATCAAAGGGCCTCAGATCAGTGTGAATAAGATAATGCCTCCTTAGTTTAGAAGGGGAACTAAAGCATTTCAGACAAACTGAACACAGATGATTCCTCTTCTGTTCACCATTAGCAGACAAACACTGACTTTTCTGTTCAGAATCAAGGCATTTTTCGGGTAATTCACATTTTGTCACACTCTTATTAAAAGCCATTTGATCTAAATGACTAGACTCACACATTACATTACTGGCACTTTTAGGTATGTGTAAATTACTTAAATGCTGTTCTTCGGTAGTGTAAGACTGTGCAGAGTTACACTCATTCTCTACACTCATCACACGAATCTCATTCAGTGCGTTGTCTTCAAATTGCAACTCATTGTCACCATTATCAAAGTTCCTATTTCTAAATACTTCATTTTGAAATGAATGCAGAGGAGAATTAGACTTTGAATGGGTTTGTGAATGGAGTTTTAAATGTACCATTTGCCTGAATGTCTTTCCACAAATGGAACACTGAAAGGGTTTCTGTCCAGTATGAATAAGAAAGTGTCTCTGTAGCTTATAAGGGGAATTAAAAGATTTTAAGCATACAGTACACTGGTGGATTTTTTTGGTATCTGGGATAGTTTCTGTCACAAAAGAAGAGTTCACCTGATGTTCCTGAAGTATTTGCTTTGTTGCAGACTGTCTGTCAACCAGCAGCCACTCAGGAGAGTTTCTACTATCCGTGCTGTTCAAGTTGAGTCCAGGTTGTTCAGTGGGTTTTGAGTCTCCAAAGTCAGGCTGTTCTGGCTCATCTTTATCATCTTTCTGGGAAATAGCACATAACTCAACATGACTGCTGCTTGCATAACTGCACTGGGAACCATCTTGGGTGGCTTGATATGGTTTTGTTTCAAATGATTGCTCTCTATTTGCAAAATCCATCAGTTGGAAGCTATTTTTAAAAGGTCTCCATTTTTTATGGGTTTCCTGGTGCTTCTTTAAATGTATGGATTGTCTGAATCCTTTTCCACACACAGAACAGGTAAAAGGCTTTTGTCCAGTGTGGATTAGATAATGCCGCTCAAGTTTTGAGGCAAATTTAAAAGATTTAGAGCAAACAGAGCACTGATGATTCATTAAAACGCTTTTGGCATTTTCAATGTCTTGATGTTCCCCTTCTGTTTTAACACATCTCTTAATAGGTGCAGTAGGAATGGAAAGACGTGACTCTGCACTTGAGTGGTAAATTTCAAAACCACTGCCCATCTCGGGCAATGGCTGTTCCTCCATCTTCTCAAATGCCAGTGGATGAGAAATCATTTCAAAAGAAATTCCACCTGTCATGTGCAGTACGTTTCTGGGATGTCATGCTTTTTATGGGAACTTTCATATTCTCCTTGTCTCCCACAGGCCCTTTTGAAAGGTAATGGTGCTTGGTTCTCTTGCTCCCGTTAAATTATTCAAATCCAGTCTTTGCCTTGAGGATTAAGATTTGTAAACGTGGTGGGCTTTCTGTTCCATGGTGTCCTTGATGAGGCCAAAGCCTGCAGTCTTTGTCTTAGGAACAAACTATTTTGACTGTCAAACCTGCACAAAAAGTGAAAAAGATCATTTTAAAATCTAAATGTACATTACTAATGACACCTACAAAAGTAAGATTGGTGCAATACAAAAATAATAATAATGTTCCAAGTATTTCTCATCACTTAGCATTCTGCATTGGCATTAAAAACAGACCGTCCTGGATATAGTCTATAACTGATGCAAAAAGCAAGTCTTTTCAGTTAAGACAAGCCACACTTGTGAAAAAAACAGAAGTTCTACCTCCAAACGTAGTTATATTATGAGGCAAACAAAGGCTATATTTAAATATTAAAATATAGCCTTTTGCTTTAACTAAAAAAAATTAAATTGAACAGACACAAAATTAACCAGAACTGTGGCTTCTAACCATAAAGGAAATCCAGTAACACATGGGCATAGTAGCATCCTGTTGATAAAAAGCTGTGGCCTAGAACCCATTTGAGGTAATGTAAGTTTAAAAACAAATGTACATTCAGGATACATAGAACATGTAAAGCCAAAAAAGAATTGAGATCCAGATATGCCAAAATCCTAAAGTAAGATGTAAAAAACGTGCAGTTCCCTTGCTAGGCATCTGGAAATATCCCGTTGTTCTTATAGGTTTTAAAATATCTGACGCAACTCTGATCATAAACCTTTGAATATTTCTTGTATATGTACAACACGTTTTCAAAGATCAGATATTTCGATTTGGCGTTTTGGAATTGGAATTAAAAAAAAACAAACTGAGTCTGTGTTACTATAACGGATAAAATTACCAGCACATCCTACTTCGTTTCCTACAGTCTTCCCCCGAAAAAAAAGCATACGAATGTAACTGATGGGAATGCAAATAAATTCAAACCCGTTTCTTCCACACTTCTACTTTTGTAAATCTTAGAAGCAGGTAGAGCAGAGCACCGGTAGTAGAAAGCTTAAGAATCTTACCTTAAAGTCGGAAATTGATCATCCTTAAGCTAACATACTCATTCTGCCAAGAGGAGTTCGACAGCGCCTCCTGCTATTACGGCTAGAGACGTTTTGAATTCTAAAGCATGACACGAAAGACAACTCTAATACATCAGTTTTTTTATTTTTTTACGAACTTAACATTGTCGGGAAATGAGCGGAAATTCTGGACACAAGATTCCTTCGTTACAGAAGAAGTCAAAAGAAACACACCCTAGTCTTGCGGTTTGCAAAGGGGATCATGGGAATCGATCAGCCTACTCACAAAGCAGGAGTAATCCAGGAGTCAGTTTTGTGGTGACTGTTTTTTAGTTTCATCATCACCAACATCCAAAGTAAATAAAAAAAACACACGTTCCAGCCCTGGTTAAATGTTACGTAGCACACAATGAAAACATTAATAAATAAAATAAACCACTGGGTCGAATTGGTAAGATTAAAAATAGCAGCACACTAATTAATGTATGATGTGACGTAAAGAAAAAATATATCCATTACAACTCACCTGACTGCAACAAAGAACAACTATAACCATGAACTATAGGAGAACCATCGCTTTTTTTCTTAATATCACACAAACATCAGAGCTGACAACACAAAGTCCGCTCTCACACAACGTGGGGGAAACACGGCTTCTACACATTAGTTCCTACCTCAGGATGTCTAATTAAACTAAATATGTTTAATTAAAGCCCATGAAAGCGCACAACGACGTGATGTTCATCAATGAACCAATAATATTTCCACGCTTTGAATGAAAGATGAAATTTAAATTAAATTAAATTTCAATACACTTAACTGAATCTACGTGTATTTAGAACTGTAAACTACACAGATTGCGTCAAACCAAATGCAGATACCCTTCTTTTTTGAGTTAATTCAAGACTTAAACGTTTGAAAAGAACTAACGTCGCTAAAGGTATTTAAATTTAAAAGTATACTTTCTCCATGTTAATATTTAATAAGCACATTGATGTTTGTCTTACACCCCATATCCATTTATTCCTTGGTACAGAACAACATTCCCTTATTATTTTATTTTCCCTAAAACGACACTCTACTAAGGCAGCAAATAAATAAGTAGTTATATTATAACTATAAACTATATGTATAATGTAACGCGTCACCACGCTGGCAAGCCGACTCGTACAACCTGTAATGTCGGCCTTATGCGTTACAATAACATAAAACGGTGTGTTATTAATAAACCAAAGAATAATTCCCTATTACTCATTTTAAAAACTGCAGTTTTTATCCCAGTCTTGAAGGGGAGTCCTGTGTGCCACGTTTTCTCAGGAAAATGTAAAAGAAATTGGGCATTTAAAACCAAAAAGGGAAAAAAATACAAATTGTTTGAATGTGACGAGTTTATACTGTACTAGACCGTGGGCCCCTGGAGGTAGGTGATAGGGGTGCAGCGCGAAATAAAAGAACCTCAGGCTCAGTGAATTAGTTATACCTCTAACGTTATTGTATTTTTTTTAATTATTGTTTCTGTTTTATAGTTTTAGTTAGAATTGTTAATGATATACTATTTAATAAGTGATACTGTTTAGAGACTCTTGTCTTGTACTACGGTGTGTATTTGACTGTTCTTCCTATGTGCTGTGTATTATTGTATGGTATAAAGTTGGGAGCTAGGTTTGACCATTTAAATTAAATGAAAGTATTCCTTTTTTACTTCCTTATTGTTTAGAACATATACAAGCACTTCAAAGTGTAAGGAGGAATATACCCATGCCTCCAATAGTGGCTGCTACAAAGTATTGTGGGGCATCATGGGGCAGTGAGAGCACCAGTAGGTTTCACAGTACTCTGCCCCAAAGCCCTAAGAGCTCCAAATGACACCTGGGAGTCCTGGGCATTGCTTCAGAGAGGGCTGAATGAGTCTGGAGCTGTGAGAGAGTCGTTGGGCTTCCCAGCATTTTGACCAGAGGTAGAAATTGACAGGGCCATCTTCTCAGCTTCCTGGTGTTAAAGGGAAAACAAATTAGAATCTGTGAAACACCCAGAGAGCAGTTTCAGAACCTGTGAGTGTTTCTACCACTTGGCAGAGAAGGAGAATGAGCCCCCTGTGGATCCTCTCCAGAATCTCAGCCAAAGAATGAAAGCAGTACCAAGGTGGGCAAGAATTCCCCAGGCCAGGGAATTAAAATCAGTCACCGAAGGCACTGGAAAAACTGAGACTTGCTGTTAACTCTCTTCATTCAGGTCACTTTACCTGAGGCACTTCTTGTAGAGGGCAGAGTCTCCACAGGAAAAGATGACAAAGTTGTGGGAGAGCCAGTTCTTAGGTTTTTGTATTCCTTTTTAACTACTGTTCCTGTTTTTGCTCATTACATTGCTGTTTGTATACTTGGTCCAGTTTCTTACAGGCCTGGAATGTACTACAACAGGACAGGGGTCTCCAGCCCTCCAGAAGAGCTCTGACCCAGTTACTTGTATAAGCCACCTGTTCCTAAAGAACAAGAACTGTATATGTTGTTGATGAATTGAGCAAGTACGAAAACCCCTTTTGTAGGGCTGAAGGGCCCTACAAAATCCCATTTGGTCCCAAATGATCTTTAAATTTCACAAATATCCTTCTTAATCAATCACAACACAATTATTTCGGTATGAAATTCACCATACTTCAGTGAAGATTCCAAGGCTCTTGAAAAACAGTGTGTAGCAAGGTTTTTCACACTGATCCTGGAAAACACCTGGTCAACAAGTGTTACACATCACACCAAATCACCTGTTTCTGGAGACTGGGAACATTTTTAATTTCTCACAATGAAGTCCATCTGGTGCTCTATTAAGGGAAAAGTCCTACTAATTTCTATTCCAAATAATTTCTAACTGAATTTAACAAATCACCTAAATTTACACTTAAATTGTTCAAAGTATTAGGATTTGATGATTAAATAGCTGTTTATAAAAAAAACCTGCTGAATTGGAACAGGACTGGAAATGTCTGGTGTATAGTCATAGGAGATTGTAGGGTACAACCATTGTGATTCTATAGTTAAATAAAGTAATGCAACCAGTTTTTACATAATATTCCAAGACCGTAAAGAACATGTCACTGACTGTAAAAATGTATTAGTCTGGATTTTAATAAAGGTAAAGGTCTTGTTTTTTAAGGGAAAACTTTTGGGATAAATGGCTTGTAATATTCAATGTAGTTTAACAGACTGTATTGTACTTGTCCCATATTACTAATTGTCAGTAACAAAAAACATAGAAGGTACTTCCATGGTTGTTGGCCTACAATGCCCATCTTTTTCAGTCATTGCTTTGATCCAGTCAACACTTAGCTCACACCTGTCATTAAGGAAACACTTAGTTACAGATGAATCACTGCACTGACTGTATAAAAATCTATCAGTTACTATAATTATATTAATTCCTTTCCTTAAAATAGAGTTTTAACTTTAACATTTGATTTACTTTTGCATTTATGAATCTGTAGTATTTCTATGACAAAATATACAGAAAACAAGTGAGTTTAAAGTGTATGAGATCTTGAATTAATAGAACATAATGGGACAAAGGTTAACAATAAGGTCGTGATGTTCTACTGTATGACACTGCACTCAATTTGACAACAATATCTGATGTCATAACAATAAATTATCCTCCACAGATACACTGTGTTGTGCAAGACTGTACTTTAGGCACACCAAACCTCCTTGAAATTTAGCTACTATTATTTTTAGGTTCAGCTTCACCACAAATGCATAAATGTTTTTCACATGATGGATGCTGTGGCGCCAAAACGATCCTATATGGATAAAGTGCTTAGAAAATGAATGTATGGAAGCTTAGTCCTGGGTTTAAATGAGGATACAACACGAAGTCAGCAGGACTATTATACACCCTGTACACTTGAGGGCAGCATACTCCACCGAATAGGGTGAACATTCCTTTGCAACGTTATTGCCTGTCGGTGACTCTCCATAATACAAGGCGTGACTGAATTTTCTTCAGGCTAGAAAAATCTAAAAATTATAAATGTACAAGTATTTTCGTTTTAGAAAATGAAAAAAAGTCAGCATTAAGTAAATGAAAATCATTATTAGCAACAACTATATCAATGATGTATTTCTTAAAGACGCAAACGGCATTTATTGTTGCAGGAGGAAATACCTTCTGGTAACTACAGTCATGATGGAACACTGACCACACTCCCGCTACAAGAGAGCCTGAAGAAAAGCTCTTTCTGTCTGTACAGCCGTCACTGTATTCTGCTGTGCCCGAAGTCTATACAGAGGTTAAAAATGACAAGTCCAGAGTTCGCCTAGGGAGAGATTCTCTGAAGTGCATGGAAAGGACATGCTAGCAATCAGAATAAAAAGACAATGGTGTGTAGGTCTTTTTCAGTTTCATAAAATATATATGATAAATTTAAAAAAATCTTTAAAACATTTCTATAAGGTGACTGTTTAGTACTAACAGGAATATAATTTTATTATATAATATATCCTTATCAGGCAAGTTTAATTTAAAGATTTAATGATTATTTCATAGCTACTTCTTGGTGACATACTTATAAAGTACTGTTTAATATGCATTATCTTTCAGGATGTTTTCTAGCTAGTTTTTCACCCAAAGGACCCAAAGGAGCAATAGATTTTGGATCACAATTTTGATAAAAATATTCAAAATTTACTTTATGTACTGTAATGACATAAAATACTTCTGAAATGTCTTTCTCATAGACCACTTAGAAGCTACAGCATCTGCTGTGCCACACATATACAGTACTATATCAATTTAAATGATCTCTCTTTAAGTTCAGGCTTGCTTTATTTGTGGAGCAGTTGCTAATATCTGACTTTTTTTTATTAGTATTCATATACATAACAGTTCTGTTTACATGATAATAGCACCATTTAAATTTAATTCAACAGCCATTATTTGTGACAGCAAAGCACATCTCATTCTGACCGCAGGAACAACTAAAGGACATGTGAGGCAGAACTTCAAGAGGACATTGTTCAAGTCAGATTTTATTACCTAATTATGGATAAGGACATTGCACCAGTGTTAACAGCCATGCTCCTGTGGAGAGTGCTTTGGGATTTTCTAAGTGGGAAGGATACCACAGCTAATTGTCTCAGCTAAAACCAGCACCTCCTAATACACGGCGCAACTTGTGACCACACTAGGGCATTGGGTCAGGATTCTTGATCCAGAGTAACACTGTCACTTACTGGTATACACACTGAGGCTAACCAAAACTTAACAATGTGTCACACTGCAGTTCTGTCAGGTCATGCAAGTGAAATGTGCACCAAATAATACCATATTGTATTGTGTTGAAAGTCAATACCTTAAAAACAATCACTTCGGTCACTTGGTTTTTGACTTGGTAATTTCAAGGAAAGCAATCTTGTGGACATCTATTGGCTCTAGTCATGAATATCTCAAAGCCAATTTAAAAAAAAAACAGACTAATAGCAGTGTCTTGATCAATAACCTGCTAAGATACTATGTTTTCAAGCGCAAAAGAGACAATGACTTAAGTAATAATGCATTTCAATTGCATTTTTCAAGACATGGAAAAAAACGTGATAAAAAAGTAAATAGTGGTGTTTTCTTTTGCTCTAAATGAGGAAGCCTGGCCTGCAGCTGTGTATTTAGCAGTCCATTCTTATTTACCAGACAGAATTTTAATCAATATGGAATGTACAAGCCTTTAATCTTTTGAGGTGCCTGGTGCTGAATGCCCAGTACTAGATAATAATACCTTTCAGCCTAGTGGAGCATAAAACAGAACAACCCAAAAATGTAAGCAGGTAAAGGTATTTATTTACCATAGAAAGCCTCCATCTGGCCATTTAGATTTGTATCAGATGATTAGCACAAAACAATCCCACTGAACTGCCACTGTACCAAAACTCATGGGCCTTCTACAATCATAATGGTATTAATGTAATGCAACAAAACATCCAAGGGTAACATAGAACACATATGTGCAACTGCACAGTCAAAGATGGCAACAGACAGCTTTATTTCTGCCTTAAATACTCTGGCCATACAACACAATGAAACCCCCTCATGTCAATGATACCTGCTGTTGACCTCAGTGTGAGGAACAGTAAATGATCAATGTCCTGTTGCCGGGAGGATGTTTCCAATAGGAGCTTGCTGCCATTTTTACTAGTCTCTCCACTTTGAGCAAGTGGAAGGCAGAACAGTATACTTTTGATGTTTAAATGAGAACAATCCATATATGTTTCATCCATCCATTCACTTTCTAACCATTTCGTCCAATGCAGGGTTGTAGAGAAACAGGAGCCTATTTCTGTGAGCAAAGGGCACAAGGTAGGGTACAAGCTGGATGGGTCCCCAGTCCATTGCAGGGAGACACACACATATTCACATTCATACCAGGTCATTTTCCCAGAAGCTAATTAACCTACCAACAGTCTTTAGAATGTGGGAAGAAACTGGAGGACCAAGAGGAAGCTCACACAAACATGGGGAGAACATACAAACTCCACACAGATGGCACCCCATGTCCAGAACTTAACCCCAGCTACTGCACCAGTCTGTCACCCCATTATATTTTCATTCGTATTAAAGTTTTTTTTGCCACCTAAGAAGCCTTTCAACCTAAATATTTTTTTAATACACAGTTCACATGAAATGCACAGTCAACACTGTTTAATAATAATAATTATAATAATAATTGCTTACACTTCTGAACACTCCACTCAAAGCGCTTTACAGGTAACCACCACCAATGTGCAGCATCCACTTGGATGATGCGACGGCAGCCATAGTGCGCCAGAACGCTCACCACACATCAGCTATCAGTGGGGAGGAGAGCAGAGTGATGAAGCCAATTCGGGAAAACGGCCGATGGGGAAATTTGGCCAGGATGCCGGGGTTACACCCCTACTCTTTTCGAGAAACACCCTGGGATTTTTAATGACCACAGAGAGTCAGGACCTCGGTTTTACGTTTTATCCGAAGGACGGCGCCTGTTTACAGTATAGTGTCCCCGTCACTACACTGGGGCATTAGGACCCACATGAGCCGCAGGGTTAGCGCCCCCTGCTGGCGCCACTAATGCCAAGCAGCAACCTTAGTTTTTCCCAGGAGGTCTCCCATCCAGGTACTGACCAGGCTCACACCTGCTTAGCTTCAGTGGGCTGCCAGTTGTGAGTTGCAGAGTGATATGGCTGCTGGCGATATCACTCTGCCTTTAGTTTCAGAACTGGATGTACTGGATCCACTCCTGTGAAAACCACAATTTATTTTCTGAGAAAACATATACAGTACATTTAACACAGCACAGGTGAAATACACATCACTTCAGTATTTATTTTTTGATGTTACAAAATGCAATTCATAGTGCATTTTTACAAAATAAAAAATAATTAATTAGAATTAGAATAAAATGGTTATATGTGCACACTCTCATCAGTGGAATGGTAGTGGCAATTGTGTAAGGCGACGTTTTGCTTCATAACAATATTCTTTGGTGGGTTGACTTTTTGGAAAGTCTGGAGTTAATTTTTAAAGTTAATATCCAGTTTTGATATGTATCATGCACCGATCCCTAATTTGCAAGTTAATTCAACATGTACTGTAAGTTATGTTTTCTTTTAAAAAACGTACAACATTCCACAACCAATTATTTTTTACATTAATGTAAAATAATATATTGCATATGCAAAATAATGTTTCCAAGGTTCTCAGTTCAGGAGTGTGACAGAGCATGGCATGTGACATCCTTCCCATTGTTTTTTAGTTCAGTAGCTGCATAGAGAGATCTATAACATTTCTCTTTACCAGTTTTGAGAGAGCCAAAGCCACCGTGGTTTTTATAGAGTTCCAATCATGGTCAGAAAACTGGTGAAAGCAGGACTTAAACCAGATGTGTCTCTTCTTTAAGTTTCAACTTATACAACAGGGAATGGGCAATTAATATGGTCAGCCAGAAAGCACAGCCCCACTGTACATTTTCCAGAAACCTAACAAATCTACAACTTTTATTAAATGAAATATAAAAGAGATGCATTTAGATAGAACAGCCAGAGATACCAAACTCTGTTTGCTGTAGTACATTTTGAGACACGAAGACACAAAACTGACAGTGAGGTAAATCAAGGTGTAGAGAGAAAAGAACCTTTTTCCGGAGCCATGTTTGCAGTTATGAATCCAATTGACACTACAGACTGCTTAGTAGTGCAAAAGGAAAAGGAGGAGACGCAAGACTGAAGTTCATGATACATTTTCTGGTTGTTGACTAAACTAAGGACAAAACCGAATGATCTGAAGTGAAAAACAATGTAACAGTTTATGCGTTGTTGTTCACTATTGGCTTAGCCAGCAGGAAAACTGTAGGACTCTCAAGTCTTGCAAATCATCGACTGGTACAAAAACCATTGCAGGGTTCCTCTGGTCCAAATGATGCTTGAGGGATTCTCCAAATCCTATGGAAACAAACAGTAATCCTTTACAATAAATAAAGCAGTATAATGTATATTCTTAAGGGATTAATGCATGTTAGCAATCTTATTTTGATTTAACTGATTTAACTTTTCTTCTGCTGAGTTCCAATGATGCTGACTAAAGCTGCACATGTCTTCAAGAAATTCAAGAAGTGGATTTCAAAACATTTTAATAGCAGGCACTATTTTAAACCAGGATACAATTTACTTCAATACAGTATAAGCTCAATCAGATAGTTTAAGTACCTGTAGATCATAACTGCATATCATTATTTTGTTATTCAATTTACTTACCAGTACACTAATGCGAAAACTTCACTTGTTTGTTCAATGCTGTTGAGGTACATTTAAATTAAAACAAGATCAATCTTCTGATTGGAGTTTAAAGTCTCTACAGAACCTAAAAGCTACCACACGTTGGATTATATTAGGATCCAAACCATGGATTAGGATCGCTCAGTCCCAGAAGATGTGCCCTGTGGTCAGTGTAGCACTTAACCCTTCGACCACATTTGACATGACTGTTCACAAATTATTGATGTCCTCAAATCCCTGGCAGATTGTAGCCAGACATTTAGCTCCCTGAAGTCAAAGCATATGGTCACTAACGGCTGGACTTAAAAAACAAAACATGTGCTCTGCCAAGATTGATCCAGAAGCATGCATATGTTGGAAGGTGACTGAAGTGGACTCAGCATTGTTAATACATGATTAGCTGCTTGTTATTGGATCACTTGAATTGATCAAAATGTAGTTTCTCTGCACATTTTAATTAATGTAATGTGGTACAAACATTCAGATTAATTGGGAGGTGGGGGTGGAAGTTAAATAGAAGATGTCTCAAAGTGCATTGACTATTCTAGTGTGGTCACATGATAGAATTAAAATGTACTTGTAGTTAAACATTTTAAACAACCTGTTTTTGTGTGTATGCTAATCAAATAATGTTCATTAGTGTCCTGTTGGGAAGATGGGAAACAGAGATCATGGTAAGCCACTCTTCGTGCCTTCCAAAATGAGAGCTTAACAGTAGGATCAGAAAGATACCCAATTAAGTATTTTTAAACTTGCGTGTTTTCAGGGCTAAATAAATTGTGAAAAAGATATTTACTAAAAGAACGGGGTTAATTAATGTGCTCTTATAGCCAACTTCACCCACAGTCCTATTCTGAATTTGCACACATCAATCGAAAGAGAGATGCACATGTTAGAAAAAGAAAAGGCAGACCTGTTATGTTGTTAAACTTAACTCTTTGGTGAATCCCATTTTAATAACAATGCTGAGGAGTAATATTTCCTTTTGTGTATTTATTGGTTGTGGGATTCATTAAAATATAATCAGTGTGATTTTCTTTTTTTTACTTCCTAAGCAAATAAAAAAAAGGTCTAAAGCCTTAAATCAAATACACTAATTAGCATGTCTTAGCAATCACATCTTATAGAAATACTGAAAAGGACCTTTCCATTTATTTAAAAAAAATGTCTTCTCCTTTCTCTGCCTAAAAGTCACCTCAAGATGTATGACTCTCATGAGATCAGCAGTTGACAGCAGGCCAGAAAAGATGCAAATCACATAAAATAACAGCCTAATTACAAAACAATGCTCCGTCATCACACTTTGGAAAATAATTTTTGGCACAAAGAATGCATTTTCGTTTTTATTTATAAACCGTGACCAATAATCTGGCGCTAATTTGAGTACTGGGCAACACCATGTTTAGCCCCATGAGAAGGAACACAAACATGGCCATGCCAGATGCTGTGGTTTTCTAATGTGGATACCCATCTAAAAAAAAAAAAAAAAGTGGTCAGAGACCATCGCACGAATCCTAAAAGCAATCACATTAGCAATGGGATGGAACTAAACCATCAACCCAAGGGTACAATTGATTCTTCTGCTTCAAATGATAAAACAGTACTCCATGAAATATTCTGGCAAATTTTTCATCATCAGGACTGTAAGTGCAACAATTCTCTTGTTAAGTTTAATACTAAGTACTATTTTTAAACATTATTTTAGGACTGGTATTCTTAAAAAAGAGAAAGGAATTTTGTTCGAGACTGGAGATGCCTGCTGGGTTTTGTGAGCTTTAAGTATGGTAAAAGCCTAAAGCACAGTAGTGTTTTTTGCTAGAATGAATCTCAAACTGTTTCAAATTAACCGATAAACAACTGCATAATTAGCAGCCATCAGATCATGAAAATTGTTCATTTAGGCAGAGGTGGCAGAACAAAATGCCAGAAAGGCAAAATACAGGCAATGTTGTTAATTTCAACAGGGAAGTGGAAACCATCCCACTGAAATTTGCACTTTTAAATTCCCCTTCAAGCACTTTAAACATACTGTGTGAAGCTAGCCATTAAAATAGCAGAATAACAAAAAAAGCAATAGATTAATTAACCTAATTTCAAATATGAACAATATACATGAAACGTCTGAGAAAAATCTTGAGTATTTTATATTGCAATATTTCACATATATTTATTGCTCTTTGATGTAACTCTCATTTATTCTTTCTATAAATATACTCACTGTGCAGATACATATATAGATCAATAAGTACAGTATATACTGTGGATCACAGATCTCAGTTTGGATTTAACAAGCAAATTATTAAGATAAGCATAGCCTTTTTATAAACCCAAAAACTATTTTAAGTACTGTATTTTGAAGAAACTGCTTAACAATTTTCCAAGACTAAATATCATTAGAATACCCTTTAAAACCATCATCATCAACTGTTTTTTTCACATCGTCTTGCATGAACCCTAATGAGTGTGTATTGGCTGTCCCCAGCACATCCTTGCAAAGGCATCTCTGTAATTCCTCTCCTGAGGATAGTCTGTGGCCAGGGCTGGATTGTAATGATACAGACCAGGATTACAGAGCACACCATGTAACACAATTAGTGTGTTCTTCCCATACAGTAGCTGAATTGTATATTTGCTTATGTTATTTTAAAGTACTTCTGCTAACCTACTGTAGAGCATGATCCTGTTTTTCTGATAAAAGGGGACCCATTTGTGATGCTCAAGTGGTGTTTCTGCCAGGCAGGAAAAGCAGAGTCCCTCCTGCTTTTTCAATTGCCTACTGGCCTCAGGGTCTAGTATTGTTTCCAGCTGCTACCCTCAGGGATCACTCTTCATTCTCACCTTGCCCAGAGAAAAAACTAGTCATTCACCATGAGAATAGAACTGCACCGTGTTATACTGGCCATTTACAGTTTCTTCAAAAGGCTTTAGCTCAAGCCAGTAATTTAGACAAACGTTTGTATGTACTGTACGAGTTTATTTACTGCATGGTAATATGCAGAACTCATAGTAATCTAACATGTCTTTCTAGTCGTACTGTATATACAATAGCTGTCCCTTAAAATGTTAGAACAGGAAGGCCTAACAAGGATTTCTAGGTTTTTTATAGTTTATGATGTAGAAGTAGACTTTATGTCCTTAATTCATTGTTCTAAAATACTGAAAGAAGTTTTAGAATTCAGTCTGATTAGCTTAAATGGGCTAAAGCCAAAGAGTTTATGTGGAAGAGTAAAACCATTAACCATTCTTCATGACAGGCAACTTTTGTCACAAAAAACATATCATATTTTTAAGCAGTTACATAACAAAAGGGAGACCATACAGTACATGACAATAAACTATCAAGTATATGGTCTTTCATGTATACGGTCATTATTTGTGTAACTTTGTTACAAGTGCACTACAGTAAGTCACCCCCCAAGTGACTGGGCACAGTTAATAAAGAGATTTAACCTATTGCATGTCAAGTCAGGTGAGAATAAAGGAACACAAAAAGGAACCATGTCTTAACTGATGGCATGAGCATAATGAATATTTTGTCTATTCAATAAAATGTCAGTGCACCTGCCGCAAAATGATTTGGTCCTTTTTCAAATAATAAAAATGTGATTGTGGTACAGTACAGTAGTTTTACAGTACATGATAAGTTTATTTAAACTATTTTCTTCAAAGCTGAGGACAATGGAATCCAGTAGCGCTACAAACAGCTCTTCATCAACCTTTGTAGGCAAAGATGGGGATGTTTTTACACTATAAAGACAAAAAATTCCCTTCGTACTGGATCACAGTTTGGTTTCTAGTTTGCAGTTTTTAGTCAAAGAAGCAAACAGTGCCTCACAACTATTTATTGCTTATTAAACTGGGGACAGTTTGTTTTTTCTTTAAAAAAAAAAGCAGTACTTGAACGTTTTAGCTAGAGCTCAAAAACAACATCCATAATATTTTAAAAGATTTCTGCACTTACTGTATACAGAATATGTATTTAAGTAATGTATCAAAAGACCTCAGTCTCTCATACATAAATGACATTAGATAATGAACAGACTGTCAAAACTAAATGTCTACCTATCAGCTTAAATCCATGAGACAATAAAGTTTAGACATCTAGAAATATGTTGCCCATTTTCAATATGGTTTGCCTTTCTAAAGGGTATGCTTTATTCCTTGTGACTTTTTTGATAATGCCAGTGTGTTACTTCTCATTATCCATCGTTGACGTTTCTGAAGAATTATCCACTGAGTAAAAGCTCTGACCCATAAACAAAGCCAGTGGCATCAATTGAGGGCATAGCAGCTTTTTGCTGAGAAAAGGTAACAAATTCCAGTTCAATGGTAAGTTAATATACAATTTTAAGTGTTCAGTAAAAAAATGCATTGTAAAATCCTGTCATACAAAAACAGAGATGTTTTTTTCTTTTTTCTTTGGTTTATTTAAGTTGAGAGAAAAATGTTTTGTTTTTTTTTTCTTTTCAAAGCTTGGTTTTACACGTGTTATTTCTTTTAGCTGTATAAGAACTGAATTTCTGTTGCTTAGATATCTAAATGCTACATATCTTTTTAAAATTAAAACAACTGCAGTATATTTAATGTTCCCCATTTTTTTATTTAAATCATTTTGAAATATTAATATAATTTTACACATATACAAAATTTGGCTTTCAATTTATTCTGCCAACAAAATAAATTATTTTAAAATGAGACCTAATTAGTAAGTGGTGCTTTAAAATGTTAGTCACATTGTGATTTAGAATACACCACCTACACACATTTTGAGTTAGCTTGGAAGTTAATGATCTGGCATGAAATGAAACATTTTTGAAGCAAAACAGTATGTGTTAACACACCCAACAAATTGCTAGGATTATATGTTTGTTGAACTGAAAAACATAATAGAGTTTATGTGGAAGTTACCTTTTAATTACAGTTAAGTATTATCTTTCAGAAAATCTGTTTCAAATTAGTTTATACACATTTAGGACAAGTGTGACCACAACAATGAAAACTGGGATAGTTTCCAATTGTTGTAAACAGTAGAACTCCAAGAGTGTAAGTCCTAGCCTTTGAAAAGGGACAGAAATCAGGACTAAGATCAGAATTACAGCATCTAAAACTTATTATTAATATCCACAGTTGGCTTTGCAGTCATTTTACAGTACTGTGAATGACTAATTTTACAAAGTTTTTTTTTCAGGCTTTAAATAGATTTGAAATCCAAGGTTTAAAGCAAGCTTAGAAAGACTTATAGTGCGGTGGGGAATGTTATGCTAAAAATGCAATACAATTGAAAGGAACAAGACACCCACATCTTTTTAGAGATGCTTGGATAAAAATTATCCTTTACTGTTTTGAAATGTAGTTAGGAACCTAGCATAATCATGCATGATTACATAATGGTTGCTTATTACAAGATTTCATTGATATTTTATATATTCTTTTTTGAAGCATGTTGTCTAAACAGGCATTTTTCAAAGTAAACTGTAGACATAAAACTGAAAGATAATCTGAAAGATGTCAGCTGTTTAAAATAATGTTCTGAGATTAAGTGGTATAATAGTTTCAGTTACAGTATATCCTACTCTTAAGGGAATTTCTTCTCATACAAGGTGCTAGTTCAAGAAGACATTTTCTGTCAACTGCTTCAGTTCCGGATGAACACTCATCTACTATAATTCATTTGTCAAATAACTTGCCATCAATCTGGAACTGTGATAAGAGAACCTTATTATTTAAACAGAGTTTATGCAATGTACTGTACATAAAACTTAAAATTTAAAATGGCATGGGCTTTAATTCCAGTTGTACGAAACATATTACAGTATGCCATATCATACTTGGACAGTCCTGCTTAAGGTTTGGAACTCCAATGTAACCAATGATATTAAGTATATAATGGATAGGCAGGATTTAACTAGCACATAGATAAATGTCATAATAATGATTTAGTAAGAGTCCAATAAGTAAATGTCTCTTACTTGAGCAAGAAATAAAAAAAATAGGGTACCTCATAGGACAATTCACCCATCTTTGTTATTACGGACTAACAGCCTTTAAAAGGAAAACACTGATATTAAACACAGAAAAACAGTACTTAGTATTCACTACCATTCCCTGAATTTCAGAAATATAATATTCATGTTTTGGGTACCAAGTGACTAAGATTATTATAATAAATAGGTCAAAAAGAGGACAAATATTAGAAAACATAACAATGTACCATAACTTGCTTATTTTTGTCAAAAAATAATTTATCTCTACCTCCAAAAATCGGATTAGATTTGCAGTAATTCATATAGTATAGTTATGTTGTATCCTATAATTACAGAATGCATTATTATGTTTCGTAAAAAAAACAGAACTGGCTTTGTCATACAAGGAAATACCACAGACTAACAGCACTAAGTACTGCTAATGCGATTAAAGTACTGTGCCTGCATACAGTATTTCGATTTCAATCTTCATAACACAGACCAGGAAGTGTAAGGAGCTAAGAAAAAAAGTCAGGATCTGAGGAAAAGAGGGATTAGGTATTTTCCCTGTGATATTTATAATATGTTTCAGAATAGATTAATCACTGAGCAAACATCAAGTAACTTGCTTACAAATAACCAACTAATTCTGGATATTGATCTGCAGACAAACCAGATTTATATACAGTACACCATTGCACAAGTTGATATGATAGGTTATCCTAACAAATTTAAAAACAATACTCTGATCTTTGTGATTTTAAGTATAATTGCATTTCTGCCACAATAACGGTTTGGGATGATGTAGAAAAAACTTTGGGAAAAATGACTGGTTTGGCTTTGAATCTCACTCGTGATTCTGTTTTTGCAGAACATGCTACAATTACTCTGATTTATGGTTTTGTTGCTTCATTTTTTGCAGATATTAAGATTCTCTCAAGATTGAGAGCATCTGGAGAAATTATAGATTTCATTTTGTTCACAGAAGACTTAACTCACCCCACATGATCACGTTAATGGTAAAGATGGAGACAGGGAAGGTGGAAAGAATACATGAGAACACTTACTGCCACACGGACATCGCTACTTATACTTAACAGTGCAATCGTGATTAGGGTGTCTGTCTTAAATACAACCTTTTAAGCCTTTTTCCAGCCACGTTTTTAGAACCTTTTTTAAAAAAAAACTTTTTTCCTGTTTGTTTTCTCTGAGCCCTTCTAAGTGTGAAGCTTCACTGTCTGCCAATAATAATAACAATAATAAAAATAAAAAAAATAATAATAATAATTGCTTACACTTATATTGTTCTTTTCTGGACTCTCCACTCAAAGCGCTTAACTGGTGATGGGGACTCCCCTCCACCACCACCAGTGTGCAGTCTCCACCTGGATGATGCGACGGCAGCCATAGTGCGCCGAACGCTTACCACACATCAGCTATCAGTGGGGAGGAGAGCAGTGTAATGAAGTCAATTCATAGATGGGGATTATAAGGAAGCCATGATTGGTAAAGGCCAATGAGAATTTTGGCCAGGACGCCGGGGTTACATCCCTACTCTTTTCGAGAAACACCCTGGGATTTTTAATGACCACAGTGAGTCAGGACCTCATCTGAAGGACGGCGCCTGTTTACAGTCTAGTGTACCCGTCACTATACTGGGGCATTAGGACCCATCTGGACCGCAGGGTGAGCGCCCCCTGCTGGCCCTACTAACACCTCTTCCAGCAGCAACCTTCGTTTTTTCCAGGAGGTCTCCCATCCAGGTACTGACCAGGCTCACACCTGCTTGGCTTCAGTGGGCTGCCAGTTGTGAGTTGCAGAGTGATATGCCTGCTAGCTGAACTAAACACTAAACAGACAGAACTGAAATATCTGGTTCTTAAGATGTAAAGTGCTACAATGAACAACCTGTCGCCAGTCCAGTCTAGTTCAAGGGATAAAAAAATGTTCACTACAGAGAGCTGAGTGGACATTCATCAATGTAAGGACTGCTACTGTGTGAGGTAACAAGATTTTTATGAGAGTTTTACCTGCCACAAGTTTTCTAGCAACACCGTTGTTGCGCTTGTAGAAAGCCCTGATACATAAGGGAAGTATACAGCCATCCAGTTTCTGCAGCGCCTCTTGGAAGGTTGAGATGAGACCAGAAAGCAGGGGCCCCTCCTCTGCCTGTGTGATAGGGGGAGAGCGTGGCAGGCTCAGAGACAAGGAGATGCTGGCTGAGGATGAGGAGCTGGATTCCACTATTTCACATTCTATGCTGCCAGGTGTTACATCTCTGCTGACGGAAAAGGACTTTCTCTGCCTGGCGTCATCTGCGCAAGCCACGACATGTAGCTCCACAGCTGCATCTCTGGGCAGACGGGAGATAACAGCTACCACCATAGGTCCACACTTGGTCTCTTCCTCTCCGTATGCTTCCTCCTGCAATGTACAATGTTCTTTTCAGCTTTCACCACCGTCTTATTGATGAAAACCTTACAACATTTTCATCCTGATTATAATCTTTTTAGAGTGGAATGTCTGCAAAAATGAACAGTTAATTATAGCTCGAGAAATACAAACTGCTGGTGGAAAGGTGAAAATAAGTCCTTGTGATCCACAATCTTTTTCTTACAACCATCCTCAAATACTCTATAGAAAGATATGAATGAAAATCAGATCCAGTAACTACTAAATTTCAAATTGCTCAGAAGGACAAAAAAGGATAATGGGCGCTAGTGGCTACTGTTGAAGAAACTAGATAATACCAAGCTTTAACACATCTGGTAAATGCATTGGGAAAGAGAGATGTGCAGCAGATTTAAAAGTGTATTCTATGTACAGTAATTTTACATACTATTAAATGTGAACATCTGGTTTTATATTTTCCCACATTTTTTAAATAAACATTCCTATGGCTGCTATTTGTCTTCAAATCTTCATCGCATTTCAATGGATAAAGTCAACCTAACTAATATATATATCTATTCTAGTCCAATTAAAAATGAGGAATGTATCTGAGGCTTGATTAACCTAAAATATGCCACTTGACTACCAGAGGTATGGAATAGAATGCTTACAGGTCTTAGATTTTTTTTTTATCTCCAGAGTTAAAATCGTTTTGCTATGTGTGAGCCACTATTAGGTTTGGAATATGTTTTACCAGTTTGTAGTACAATAAAGCCCTCAAATGATACTTTGTTGCAGCCTTATCTACTAATGGATAAGAAATAAGCAACTTAAAACAGTAATTTCAACTGAAGTCGATAAGGCTGCAACACTTAACCCCCCCTTTTCAATTTACAGGATCAATTTTCATCCACTTACACTCGACGTGGTAAGTGGGGAATAATGATAGGTTACACACACTTTATTTTGAAATTCACTCACAAAAATTATTGACAAGAGCATCAACAGCACTTTTACCCTGTAGAGGTGGGGCAGTTTGACCCATTCTACTGTTTACATGAATGCAGCACTTACCTGCAGATTAAACTTCGGCAGAGCTTAATTGTGTATCTAGAGCAAATATTGCTTCACCATTTTAGCTTTAATGTGTGGGAATGAAAACAGGGGATAATTTTCCACAAATTGACAAAGCTCTCCTCACAATAAAGAAATGTTCACAGAGACCTGTTTGCTTGGAGTGGCGTGTCAGAAGCATTACCAAGTTTGTTTTTTTTCCTAACATAAATGTGATATTAGCACTTAACAGAAGCAAGGTATTCTCCTCCAGGAGATGAATTCTACCCTTGTCAATACTAATTCCCCTCCAAGTGCTGCAAAACACTTTGAAAAGATGAAATATTGGAGCTCTCCAATGGAAAAAGCAGTGCTCATTCAGGCTTAAAGGCCATTTTGTTGGCCCAAGGTGGTGAGGTACTGTTTGTGGAAAATAAGTCTGTGGAACCTCTTGCAGGTCAATTCATTCACACAGGCATAAACTTTTCTACTTTCCTCTACTTGTCTAAGGCTGTTAAATCAATAACTTTGCAAATGTTAACTTTAGGGACACATGCAATGTGTATTAATTCAGAACAAACCACAACACCAACAGAAAATGATCATCTTTCCGAGGTGCAGTGCAGTTCAAATTGAGAGCAGCATTAAAAACGCACAGCATTCCCAACTGCCTGTACACTGACAGATGTGCAACTATTTTATTTCCAGTCATTGCCCTTAACAGGAAATCGTTTAAAGAGATTAAACTAATACAATACAAGGCAACAAAAGTTGATATATGGTTTTGTTGATTGTCTACAACAGGGCTATTCCACATACTGCTCCTCTAATCCATTTCACTGCATAAGTTCATTATGACCATCCTCATTCATTAAGTTTTTTTAACTGAGAAGCGGTTTGTAACAAAGTTTTGCAATGAAACTGGAATAGAAACACAAAACATTGACCTGCTCTACAGTTTATAGGAAAAATTGCTGCCTTTTATCCAATTAAAAGGGCAACACACCTGGGAATTTCTAGAGGCAAGGTTTTCCATTAGGAGTCCAGGGACTTGTGGGGGCCCTCAGATACAAGGGGGGAGTTTTCACCCAAGGTCTCTCATGGTGGCTTTGCTTTGACAACAATTATTATGGATCTACTGACTTGTAGTATTGCTATGAATATTTTATAAATTAATAGCAGCTGCCAATTAATTAACATTAATTTACTTAAATCTGATTTAATGTCTAAATTGGAGGCCTTTACTGAGAGTAATTTCAACACAAATGGGTCCTATAGGAAGGAAAGGTTGAAAACCTGTTTTATAGCATTTACATAAAAGGAATGAAATCTATTCCAAAATAATAATGACCATAATATACAGTAAATGCAATTTGTACTTACAACAATTATTATTTGAGCCAACAGCTGCAGGAGCTTGTAATTTTTCAGTACTGGTATACTTACAGCCATGGTATCTTTTGTATGGTTGCCCATGAGACCTGCTTAGAATGCGTGAAACTTAAATGGTAAATACGGTAATAAGGAAACAGTGTAAAGCCTTTTAGCAGCAGGGAGTTGATATAGCAAAAACTCAGCTAGTTCCCCTACATTTCCTCCACAGCAGGGGCACTTCATCAAATGGTGAAAGCAGTTCCTCAGCTCAGCGCAAGGCCATCATTTCAATAATAGAACCACTTCCTCCCCTTTAAGTTTCACTTAAAAATCAACTTGTGTAAACTGCATAACGCTCTGCTTGTGGCACTGAACTTCCAAATGATCTCCCTGAAGGGAAATGGGCTTCGCTGTTGTCCTCCAAGGTTTTGAAACACTGCCCTTCACAGGCAAGCCCGAGATTTACTCACACACACACAGATCAGAGACACCGCGACTTGAGTAGAGGTCTGCATTGTCCTTGAAAAATACTGGGCTAGCAGATAGCAGAAATAAAAACAACATCACACAGAGATAATCAAAGCTAAAATTATTACACATAAAACTATTTTTAATGGTTTTAAATATTATTCCCTTCCTGTGTTCAGTGGAGGCTTGAGCAATGCATCATTAATTGATAAGCCACTCTTGAATTAGGAGAGTCTACTCTTGTTGAGCGATTGTGTGGATTCTGTCTAGGTGCTGGCTGATCTCGAGATCTCTCACAGCCAACTACACAGCCCTGATTACCAGGCAAGGACAATCGTATATACTTCCACAAGCTGAACCCGCCGTGTACCATCTCAAAAAGGGAAGCTGACTGTTGAAAACAAATAGAGGACTATAGAGGATGCTTGAACTCCAAATGGAATCATTTTAAATGGGTGGGTATATAATAATATTATAATAATTATTTAATTAAAAAGAAGCATCATGTACTAATTCCTCAAAAAACTTAAAAAACACACAGGTATGGGGAATTGGGCACACTTTGTTTTAAGAGGAGATTTTCTTTAAACTCATACTGTTCCACTACATACTGTATGAAAATCATAAGGCCAGTTGTTCACTATGATCAGCATCCCATTGTTTTATGATAGTGATTTCATATGCATCAACTCTATCTTGCACCCAATTAACCTCCTGAGTTTTTATATTCACCTGATTAGAGAAATTATGAATGCACCACAACATAATTTGGCTCCTTGTCTAAAGTGGAAGGAAAAAAAATCAACTCTCTTGCACTTCCTAATAACTTGTGTTTAGATGGGAGATTGCTTCCACATGAATTATTTGATTGTACACTCCTCTTTGGTCCTCGCTGCAAGTAGTATTTTATTTAATAGCAACCATATAAGTGTTAATTGGGTTTTAGTATTTATTCTTAGATTGGGATGTCAGCTCCTTGATTGGTACTGTAAAAAAAAACTCTGTTCTATTCTACAACCAAATATAACATATTTTTTATTAATTTATAACAAATAAGATAAAGTAGTAACATAACATTAAATAATTATATAGATGGTTATTTGTATATTATTTCAGCTCTTTAGATCATTAAATTAAAACAAAAAAACAATCTTCATGCTGTTTTTGGAGGTACCCTCAAAATATAATCAGTACCAAACCAGAGAATGTGGTAAACCAGGGGGATTATTATTGTAGTAAACGGGTTT